GGGGGGGGGCAGCATGGGTTAGGTGCCGAACGTGCCGAACTTACTGGGGTCTCGTAATTTCTTGAAAAGAGGCCTTTCTCAAGGAAATATGCGGGCGGCAGTGGATACGATTTGCGAATGAACTCACGGAGAGATGCCTTCCCGCGTTGTGCAGGATCTGCGAATAAGCAGTAGCAGTAACAAGTCACAAGCGCAATCATTTCAAATGGCACGACCTCAAGGCAGTAGAGTCAGAGCCTATTTTTCACTGGGATGGTAGGAAATGACAAAGTTTTGATAAATTGAAAAAGGAATGAGGCGTCAAAGCTAGTTTAATGTTGAATAATATGTAAATTTACAAAAAGTACAGTTAACACAAACATTTCATTAAATGGAAAATGGATGTCGTGTCTTCCTCCTTTCTCAAGATTCAAAGTTAGTCTTTAAATACAGTCCCTGTCCTATGCCATAAACTCAGTATGGAATGTGTACATTCTCAAATAATCACTGCCACAAAAGACAGTTACGGTGAAACTCCAATGCAGCAATGAGCACCTTACCCCATTCGGTGGTGCGGTGGCGGCGCTGTGGCAGCGCGTAGCGGGAACCATAACATGCAAAATTTCTCGTGCGTTTTGGTTAAAATGAATAGTCCTATCGTCTTCGGTGTGAAAAAATAGCACCCAACCACACAAGTTTCATCAAAAATAACATCAAAAAAAGGGCGTTTGAGATATTTTTTTCTACTGGAGGCTTCTGCTTTGTTATGGTTCCGCCGAATGGGGTAAGGTGCTCATCTACACTGCCCCTCACTCATCATCTGTCACACATTACTTGCTTACTACAACCCAACTGCAACCCAAGTTGTACATGTAAATACACGAAATCGCATGGGGTGGGTGACGGATGATGGTGGCGTAGATTGCTCCATTGGAGTTCCACCCTTACACATAAAAGAAGTATCTATTTCACTTTTGGGAAAATTGCTCAAGGCCATGGTCAACTAACTTTTCAGAAACACCCTCTCCTGGAACAAGGATACATGTCACTCCTTTCTCTGACAGATCACGTATGTTTCTAGTCTCATCATCAAAGAACAGCATATCTTCATGTTTCAAACCAGACGCTTGGCAAAATTTTGAAAAATGTTTCACTTTACAGCCAGGGTAGATTTCTTTGTATTTGAAGTACTTATCCCAATCTAAAAGTTTGACCAGCTGGTTGGCACCTTGAATTTCGCTTGTTCGAGAGGCAATAGCTAGTTCATAACCTTTGGAGTGCAAATCAGAGAGAACCTTTGACACTTCTGGGTAAGGCTTGATTTCATGATTCTGTTTATCATAGATTTTTCCACTGGAAAAGAGAAATATTAAGTCGTGACGGTTTAGCATATATTTAGTTTTATCAAAAACAAGCTTAAACATACTAAGATACCTTTTCTTGGTGAAGGGTGGTGTGACATGTGTATCAACCCAAAACGGCCAAAGAGTATAATCTAGATGACAAAATAAAGAAGTAAAACCATGAAAAATAAACCAAAATATTCAAAAAATGTTAGTCATTTTATTACCAGGAACCCCAGTCGCGCCACTGCATTAAATGTGCTTCAATGCGCATTGAAATGCACACAAAAGGTGACACCTTGGTAGCGCATTAAATGCGCGTCATGCACACTTAATGCGCATTAAATGTGTCAGCAAGTTGCCACCTTTTATGAGCATTTCAATGCGCGCATTGAAACGCATTTAATGCGTTTGGCGCTCCTGAGGTAAACAGTCATAATATTACCTAGATCAAAGACGATCAATTTGGGTTTCCTACGTTCTGACATTGCTGCTGACTGTTAGCAAAGTTCAAGTAAGAAAAAATTCTAACACAAAAATTACAAAATAGACAATGTTATACCTATTCAACGTAAATTGCGCAAGTTGGTCGACCAGAAACCACCAGAAACCATGCCCAGCTCAAGCAGACGACGTCAACGCAGGCAAGCACACATCAACATCAAAACGGGAGATATCGAAGTATTTGAGTGACGTAACACAGACAGGAGGGTCAGTTTTCGCGCCAATTTTCTTTCTTGGCATGGAGGGTTTTGTCTTCGCTTTCTCAAGCAGTCAGCTAACATTCCTGGCCCACGATTCTTGATTTTGAAATTTAGCAACATACTAGTGATAAGGTGAAGGCCTTATGCATGATGTACAGCATAATTTCTTTCACATGAATTTATTTTTATATTTGATAGATGTAACGTTTACACTGTTACTATATTTAACCTTCTAATTTCCCTGCAGATTCTCCCCATAAGTTTGAAAACAATTCAAGCAGACTAATTTTTAATTGTTTTTATAAGTAATACAAAAAAATATTTCAATGGCTCTTAGGTGTTCTTTGTCCGATTGGGAAACCAATAAAAACGATTTTGAACATGTTATACATGATCCCCACAATTGGAACAAAGTTAGTTGTTATGCTGATAATTGCTTCTGTACCCTGTCTTTGTTGCATTTTTAATAGATTGAATAATATTTCACCAATTATTTTTGTCTGCGCTAAACAGATACCCTTAATCAATACCATCCCTAACTATGAATTACATGATCATCAACTTGTCCGTTTCCGTGGAATGGTTCAATACATGTATAATCCAGAATACTTTATGGCTCAGTACGAAGTTGAGGACAATTCATCTAAAGTTAAAGTGACAAGGTCTGGTCGGTACAGAGATGTGATTCAGTGCGCTGTAAGTATCACGATGGTTTGATTTATGAGTGATAGATATTGTGTTATTGCTATATCCATATATATTCTGTCCTTTTTCGTACTTTAGCCTAATGAAAAAGTTGTAGAGAATAGAGACCAGTCTATCGAAGAGCGTCAAGTTTTCTACTGTATTACTACTCCTGCACTTAATGATTGGGTGTATCAGGTATTGTGGAGAGGAATTTTGCTATCAGATGGTGTATTATTTTTGAAATTAGCACTTATGTTCTATTTTTATTTTTTCATAGCAGGAAAAGAAACTTGGTCTTCAGCAGCAGGAAACAGAGAGTGTTTCTTCTAAAGTTTGTGATGCTACCACCAAGCGTCAAATAGAAGATGAGCCAATGGACACAGACCATTTAAATCAAGAAGCATCTTCTCTACCACAAATTTCAACCTCAAGGTAAATTTTATTTTATAGTTCTATTTAGAGTTGCTGTTAATTTTGCTGTCACTATTTTTAATCTGGCAAGTACTTTTCAGTGCTACTGTCCAGGAACCCAAGAGATTTTTTGCTGGAAATTCTATGAACAATTCAGGCAGTTCTGCTTGTCATGGGCTTAGCCTCAACTTCCCAATTGATGGATCTCATGGAATAGCGTGTTTAGTAAAAGTATGCTATTGTATGGCTATCAACCGTTTTTTTATTGTTCTGAATTCATTGTATCAATTTTTTGACATTTTCAGATTAATGACTCAGATAGTCTTCCATCTCTCAAAATAAATGATCTAATTGATGTAGTGGGATTTCTTTCATTGGATCCGTCACTAGCTCATGTGCCGTCAAGCATGGGCACAGAAGCAGAAAACCTGGCTGAAAATCCTCCTCCATCAATTGTTCCGAGACTTCATGCTGTAACTTTGCAGAAAGTAACACACGTTAATTTACTTCCTAACAATCTTGGTGGGTATTGCACGATATTGTATTAGTCATTGGAATCATTTTTTGTACTTTTGTTATCATCATTGCATCTTTTCCAGATGACATTTACAAAACAGCTTTAAAAACAAAGAAAGAGCTTCATTTTGTACTAACTCAAATGTTGTTGGGTGATTCCTTAGCTGCTGATTACCTGATCTGTCATCTAATTTCTCTTGTGTAAGCCTCTTTTTCTCTTGAATTCTATGATCAGTCCATCTTTTATTGATTTCTATATCTATGCACTATAAAACCACCATCTCTCAATGATTTCAGGTATATGCGAAAAGATGGTCTTGCTTTAGGCCATTTTTCCTTGAATTTATCTAATTTACCTCAACGTCCTGATTACACACGACTACTGTATTCAGTCTTGGAAAGACTTCTCCCAAAGAGCCACTACTTGCCAATGACGCTGGAAAATATGAATACCTTATCATTCTCACCCAAGTTAGTAATAAAACTCTACATACCCCGCCAGCCAGATAACTTATATTTCAGTTACATGAATTGGTAATTGAATTATGATCTGCAGGATGGACTATGAAGCAAATCGCCTCTCTTCAGGTCTTCTTCAACTGAGCGATAACACACATCTAATTGTTGATGAAACTAGACTAGAGGCCGGCAAGCTTGATGCTTCAGGTATTCCATTTAGATCATACACTTCCAATTGTTAGTAACTATCTGCTATTTATTTCTTTTTATTATCTTTAATATTTGATGTTATTGTTGTGAAGGTGTTGTCAATGTTCAGGCTTTGAGAACATTAATTACTCATCAAATTGTTAACTACGATTTTCAATATTACTCTAAACCATACGACGCAGATGTGCCAGTTCTCATTCTTTCAGAGGGTAAATCTCTGTTGCCAGTAAGTTCAGTAAGGCCATTCTAGGAATTTTGTATAATTTTACTTAAATTTACACTACTTAAGTTCAATTCCCATTTCAGTGTAACATGCTGGTGTCTTTGAATGCTGATCCGTCATGTTTAAATACTCTACCAGAAATTTTCCAAGCTGCTAATCACTTTCTACGTGAGCCTCTTCTTACAGAGATTCGATTGTACTTAAGTGTTATGCGTCATTCTGATTATGAATTCCCAGAGGATCTTCAAAAGGTATTGAATCAACTGTGTAACAGTTAGCATGAGAATCTCCAATAGGGTAAATGAGGGACTGTGATGAAATCTCGTTTCAATACAATAATTATTATTATTGTCACAGCAAGCTCAAGAGGATTTTGTTCAAATGAGACAGACAGGAGGACAGAATGTCTCAGCAGAAGACCTTCATTTGCTATTAGTGCTTGCAAGGTAATGTTATTAGTGTTTATTATTTTTACAAGTCAAGTGCACCATCTTAATTCATTTTGTAAATCTGTCTACTTTAGGTTGGTGTCTTTAAGCAATGGAGAAAAAACTGTTTCATTGGATGCATGGGAAAAGGCAAAAAGGATGGAAGCGGAAAGGAAATCACGAATTGATATCCAACGGGGTCGGGCGGTGCAACCTGCTAATGAACCATAAAAATCACTACTACGAAGGACTAATTGAAGAAATAAATTTTACTTGTAATTTATTGAAAATATCACTTTTAATTTTTAATGAATATCACACTTTAGACTACCTATCAACAGTCAGCTTTGTGTAAAGAAACTGCACTTTAACTTACTAATACCAATGTATTTAAAATAGCTAAGTAGTAAGTTTTGGAAAACCACATTCAACTGACAAAACAATGCACAGCAACACTGAGTTTTCCTGTTCCTTGGTGAAGAGGCAGACATGTCTAAGTTGATTGAGACATTGTAAAAATTTACTTGTTTGAAAACAAAAGCTCAAGCACAATTGCACCAAATCACATAATTCAATAGCTATACTGATGGATTTTAAACAAAATTATTTACCATTAACCTTCCAACACATTGCTCAGTAAAAGTCAAGCTGGCTGCAGGTTGGTGATAACTCACATACATGTGAGATTTTTATAAGAAAATCTTGTACCTCGTGGACAGGTGAATGTTACGAAACGTTTTGGTACCTTTCTTGTAAACAAAAACTATTAAAGGTGAGAAATGACACCTAAAAGTTATCACATCCAAGTATAAATATTTTAAAGAAGAGGTCTTCTTAAAGTAGGATGGATTAATAATAGGACTAGCAACAGCAGCATCTACAAGGGGGAAAAAATCAGTCAGGTCCAAGTGCATAATGACTTGAACCAAAATTTAATCGGTATTTGAAGGATGGACGGCGACTTCTATTTATCGCCGTACCGGTTTTCAGCCGGAACTTAGAGAGGGAAAAATAGATATGTACATGTTTATACATCAAATGAATTGCTAAAATATAGCATAAACAACATTTCACTGATGTTGATGAAATGTTTCAATATGTGTGCCAAACAGTTTCTTTGAAAATCAAATACAAAAGCTAGCCAACCCAAAACAAAAACAAAAATATTCTGAAACAACTCAGGAAAAAAGTATAAAAAATTTGAAACACTGACACCCACTGAACATAAATCCTTCTATAAATTTAAAAAAAAAGAAGAAGCTACACACTTAATCAGAAAACCTAAGGAAATAAATAAAAATATAACACCAGAGTAAAGAAACAAATCAGAAAAATCACAATACAATTGCAGTTTTGTCTCCTTTGTATCACAAGTCAGTCGATGTTGTTTTAGGAGAAAATACAAAGCAATTTGCTGGCTAAACGCGGAGCACATGATGCAATTAGATAAGGATTTAACCACAAACTTTCTGGCATATATTTGTGCCTATGGAAAAACTTCTTTCATACCCTATTACTAGCACCTACAAAGTTTAAGCTATTCCTGCACCATTGATTTTCATAGCTAAAGATTTAAGTCTGTTTAAATGAAGGAGAGAATACTTTCCAACAGTACTACCTACCATGTCCAAATATGTTTCATTCTTAAGATCTGATTTGATGCGAAGGGATCCTTTCTCAAATATTTGTAGCAGGGTTAAAACATAAGACACAAAAAGGTGAAAAGAAAAATAATACAAAGCTGCACTAAATATTGGAAATATATAGTATTTGAGCAACTTTGTTGGAAACCATGTGTGTTCTTTTCTTGGTTCACAGAAAATCTAATTAATCTGAATCAATCACAATTCATCAGGGAATCTCAAATTATCTAAAGTAGTCCTTTGCTTGCTTTCTTCAATTGGTTCACTTTTTGATAATGGAGGTCTAAGAACAGGAACATCAATCTTGAGAACGTGATCATTCTCCACAACTCCATTTAAATTACAGTCCAGACACAGATCTTCTGTTCCTTCTCTTCCTTCTGAAGGTACTGAATGAAATGGAACTGGTGTAGCACTGCCAAAATGTGGCAAAGAATCTTGATGTTTTGTTTTGCCTTCACTATTTTCATTACTTTTTAAATTGAGGAGATAGTCAAGATCCAATGATTGAATGGTATCTTCATTCAAGATAAAAAGTCCTTGCTGAGCTAAAGTACTGAATAGCTGTAGATCTCGCCTAGGTACTTTATCTTTCAATTTAGAAAGCAATTCACTAGGAATAGGGGAATTATGTTTCAGTACTCCTTGAAGAACTACACTATCACTCTGCAAGACAATGCTCAGCAAGAGTTCATTCAAATGTGGAATTTTAGATTTGTGTGGCACAGGAGATGGTAATGGAACATTTTCCTGTAATTTGAAAAATTTCAATTATTACAAGGTAATGTTAAATATGATCCAGTTATTACCTCTGATACAGTTACTACAGTAAATTTAAAAACCATTGTACCTCAGAGAATGACTTTGGAGGTTGCAAAACAGGGACAATAGGTTTGTTTTCTATACCCATCGACTTTGACTGGATGGGATTATTAATAAATTTGATGATAGATTCTTTAATTTTATCCAAAGCAGAATGTTTAGATGGAGGTTCTAAGGTAACTTCTTTCCCTTTGAATTGGCCTTTATTTTCTGTGGAAAGGAAAAAGACAATGTGTAAGCAAAAACCAAATGAACACAATCTGGGGTCCCGGATTACTGATTTGCGAGCCATTATGTTGTGATTCATGCTCTCTCAATTGGCAATGCTTTCTATCTCTCTAGCACCTTGTACTTACTACTGTAGCCTATAACCGGGACCCCTGAGTTAATACATACATTTCAGATCAGACTTTTTTTCCTCTTAACTTAACAGACCTTCTTCAAGGGCAGCAAAGCTACTCAAAGTGATGTCCATGTCAGGATGTTTTTGGATTGCTTCCAACAATCGCACAGCATCATCATAAAATAGAAAAGCCATGGGAATTGCTACATCATCTACTCCATCGCCTGACATCGCAAACATAGTTGATTTTGTTACAGATGTTCCAACGGTATGGTCTATGACAATACCAGCAACAGCGCCTGCCTTTTGAATACGCCTTGCCTGTAAAGCGAAAACATCAAAAATAAATTGAGAGCACCATCATATTTGCACATTCAATGCAGCTTTTCCAACAACTTACTTTCTCCACAAACATGCAGTCTCCTCGTTCAAGAATAACAATTCGTCCACTAAGCATCTGGGGCCAATTAAGTGTCTCACAACCTCGTACAGGCAAAGCTACACCAACTTTGGCTGTTACCTTAAGTATTAAGAAAAAGAAAAGACATCAATTTAAAATTCCAAAGGGATAACAGACACAGAGATGTCATATAGTACAGAATTTCATTACTAAAAGCCCACAGTTACAACTCTTTTTAAAGCGAGATTTAATGTTAGTTTTTTTTTCTTTAAAATCTGATATTTATTTAAGTCTAAATGGATCCCGAATCACCATTGAGTATGTTCCTGCCCCTTATATGGAGATTCACTATCAGGGAATGCATGCAAATAAATTTGAGAAGAAAAAAGTTTTAACGCACTTTGTCAGTAGGTAAGCGTAAAATTTTTCCAAAATGAGCAGGACCAGCTGGAATCACAGTTGATTTGCCTTGGTTATCAGTGAAACTGACAGCCTGCTGCATTGTTTCAGTTTGAGGGCTAAACTTTGACAACTCCACCATTTCTTGCATAAATATTAGTCCTTCTTCAGCATCCATTGATGAAGCAGCCTGAATGACAAAAAGTATGGTGAATAATGTGGTTACTTTGACAAACAACTAGGGATTACAATAACTTTTTACTTACATTACCAAATGCGTGGACTAATTGTACCCGTCCATCATCAAGTGCCATGATACTAATACCCATTTCCTTCAAAAGCTTCATATGATCAGTGTTTCCCATCTGCCAAAATCAAATAAAAAAAGATTTGTTCATTGATCTACTGAACATTGCTCCCTTGCAATACGAAAAAACATAGCAAAGCACATCAAAATTTACCTGGAAGTCCACAGCCTTCAGTCTACGTTTCAATTCTTTACGTGGGCAAACACCATCCACTAGATTGCGGAGAGGGCGGCGAACCTTTTCAGGAAATAGGTGTTGGATGTTGGGACAAGTTCTTGCATCAGGTAAATCATCTCCTGATAAGTCAGAGCCGTTCAGGTCAATCGAATTGGCTATCTGTGACATTGGCAGAAAAAAAGGAATATCAAAGCAAAAGTGAAAAAGATAAATTATAATTATTTTGCAAGAAACCAAACAGAACCTTAACTGAACTTACATTTAAAAGGGAGGCATTTGAAGAACGAGCAAGCGTAAGAGGCAGAAGGTGAGCTTCAGTAGTGAATAAAAATTGATCTAGGTCTAGGAGAAGATCACTTGGTTCTGAGAAGAGCAAGAACAAATACTTAAACGTCTCAGCAAGAACAAATGAGTCCATCCTATAAAAATAAGGAAATCAGAGTTAGAAAATATTTCAAACATTCATAGACCAGAATATTTTTCTGCGAGCCACAGCACATGAAAGTAACGAAACTGCGACATTACTATACCTGTCTTCGTGTACATTTGTCCGCACATCCTTAACTGCGGCATATCCACAAGAAACCCGAGCATACCTCTGTAAACTTTTCAATACTTTACGGCCCACTTCTAAATAGTAGGAATCACCAGTTGCCTTGTAAAGAAAATATGTTGACTCTAAGAATTCTGGTCTTAGTGGATGTTGGCCCCAATGAACCTGAAAAGTAAACAAAGACATCTACGTCATGCAATCTGCAACAATACACAATAAAGTGGGTCGTCAGAAAGAAATATTGAATACCTGAAAATCAGTTGTGAATGCTTCGGGAAGAAAATTATGCCGCTGCATTACCTGATAAAGCATTTCATGAGTCTCGACAGCAGGCTTGATATCACCTTTCAGAACCTGAAATTTATTTATTTATTTTATTCAGAAAGAGTGATGAAGATATTAGAGTACAAACAGTCATTTAGATGTAAATTTACCTGCAAGCCTGGCCAAAATGCTAAAAGGGCATCCATAAAATTGCGTGAATTCGAGTTTGGTCTGTGCATATGGACATCAAGAAGCATGGGACCCTGACTAATATACCTCATGACAGCAGAATAATGCTGAAATTTGAACGGACAAAAATTAAAATTCAGATAACAAGTATTACTTTGAAAGAGTTTAATACCAAACTCAGATATTGTACTAAAACAGACTTTTTGAATACCTTATTAAATCTCCCAAGGTAACGGTCATCCCCTAAGAGAATATAAGCTTTAAGGCAATACTCATAGTAGGAATCTATTCCAGCACCCACTCCAGAATCTCTTCTGACCCAATCTCCAGAATGGATATTTAAAACAGTTCCCATTAAGTCGGAACTTCTATGTCGCAATCTCCATAGTTCATCCATGGCTCTATGAGCTTTTTCCTAACAAGAAAAGAGGGAACAGATGGATTTTAGTAACAAGAACGAAGAAACTGACAGGATCCAATTAGTAATACAATATAACATACTTCAAAGATTGGCTCTCCACTAAGGCGGGACAAGGCAGCCATTTCCAGTATCATTGTGCCAGCACATGCAGTACATGTTTCACGAGATGATTCTAGCCCTCTTACTTTCAAACCATGACGTAAATTCACCTGGATAAAACCATAAATAAAGTTTTAGAAAGGTGGGTACAATTTAAGGTTTGAAATCTTTCAGAAACTTACTCTAGCGTGAGGAATACCAGTTGTTGTATTAAAAGCGGGTAATAAGCGAAAACCAATATCTTTGGCCATTTGAAGAAGTTCACCGCGGTACCAGTGCATTACATTCATGTTAAGTTGAAGATATTCAGCTAGGATATGACCTGATAGCAGGCCCCTATAAAAAATAAACAATGATTGTAATTTAAACTATTTTTATCTTTACTATATATACACTAAAGTAGAAAAATTTTACCCAAGAACTCTGATATTTGTTTCAAAAACTGAAACAATAATATCACTATCAAATGAGACATCTTTGATTATGAGTTTAACAGCTCTCTCGAATTCAGCTATGTCACCAAGAACCTGCAAAAACACCAACCGGAAACAAAAAATAGTGTTTCAGTCCGATTAAAAAACTCAACTAGTGTTTTGATGTAAACTTACCACTAATGTATCCAGTGTATCAATGAGGGTCAAAGAAAAGCTGAAAGTAATTTTACAGAATAAGCAAATGAGTTGATAGATACATCAAGTATACATCAGGTAAAGCAGACTACCAAAATATACAGTGCTTACTTTCCAAGAGTATCATCAATATCGCCTCTTGAGGGTTCTTTCCCACGCCATCTGCCTTTGCAACTTAATGGCATGAGCTCATCAGCTGGGTAAGCATTTTCCTAAAAGAGTAGTTAATCTCAGTTAAAGACAACTCCTGTCCTAAAATTAGTGTATTTTTGAAATGTCTTGAAAACTCACCATGTAGGCATTGAATGCATGATAAAACATATCACGAGCCTCCTCGCTAAAACCACAGAGAGTTCTTATGAGATGCAAACTTTAGATGATACATTGTAATGATCACTTCAGAGTTTAAGTAAAACAAAGAATTTCTATAAGTGATAAACATCAACCAGTCTGCGGGGCAGATATCAATGGTAAACTGAACAGATTTTAAGACTCACCGTAACTCCATTCGTTCTTCAGAAGAAATGAGTGGTGGGGATGTGGAACCCAAGACACCAATCAAGAAAGTGCTCAGCATTAAACTTGTGAGTACAGTTATGTGAAATGATGCATAACCTTCCATTATTGTAAGATAGCGAATAACCAATGGCACTATAATGGTTATTTTTTTAAACTACAGAAGGAGTAGATGGAAAGTATTCTTTCTCATTTTAATTTACAATAAATAATAATTAATTTTGAGTGATCTAGCATCAAAACAATTATCACAGTAACAGAAACCAGCTATCGCCAAAAGTCACAACATCAACAATCCTTGAGGTTGACGGTAAACATTTCGATTAACAAGGGAACTAATAGGAAAAGCAGATGATGCGTCCAGTCTTACAGCCATGGGATTAACCGTTATTGTGAGTGGAAACCCACAAAATTGGCACAATTCTTTCATAAATGACACATCACAGAAGTTGAATTCTGATTTTCTTCTGCAACACTTCTGCACCCACCGCCCCTTCCCTGTGCCTTGAACTGCCTTCAACAATAGGCCTCATTGGTATTGACATTTAAATTTTCATACATATTCTGTTTCTCTAAACCCCCGAAGCACCTCGATAGCGCTACCATCGCTTTCATTGCAGACGGGCGACGGCCAGACGCAAATAATGGCGTCTTTAAAGTTGATCTGGCAATGTTTATTTGCCCCCCGGCTAATCAAAATATATGGCGAAAGAAGCACTGAGGTTAGCAGATTTGTACATCAGGCGATTCTTTTCTTTCCGGGCGACTAGCACCTAATTATTATGCTTGACCAAATGATACACCACTCCTAACCTAGTTGTTTATTTTTACTTTACAGGGTGTTTATCAGGCTAATTATCATGCCAATAATTTGGAACGATGGGGTGATCAAGTAATACATTCTGTAAGTTTTTTTTATTGTCATCTTTTGGGTTGCTACATTCTGAAACTATGCAATGATGATGATGTTCAGTGAATGATGTCAAGTCATTTTGGTCCCATATTACCATTTATTTATTTAACTGTCTGTTGACTGAAATACCTGCTTCAATATGTCTAAAACAACTCTAGCCCTTGCGGAATTTCCATGCTGTATCCAACACTATACTCAAATTGCAGTGACAGGCAATCTGTAGTTGTATGTGACATGGCTATACAAAGAGTTTTACTTTTTCAGATATATCTTCTTATGAATTTGGGTTTGTACACATCCCCCTTACTAGCTACTATTCTCTATCGGAGAGGATATCTTCTCTTCGATAGTCTCATCACTATGGCCAAAGTATTGACAGGCCTTGGATTGACATTAGCAGCAGCATATTGTTTTAGGGGACTAGGGCGGGCAAACAATGCTGCTTATCTAGAATTTGAAGCTGCTCTAAATGCTGCAATTCACAACCTTAACAAAGACACAAAGGTAATCACAAAGTTTTATTTTCATTTGAATGTTGTTCTGTTAACACATTCCCTGCGGCAAGACCACTATGTGGTCACGCTCCCATTTTAAATCATAGTGACCAAAAATGAGCCGCAGGGAACGTGTTAAAATACAAAGTGTTTAAGATTTCAATTGAATTTTTTACAGAAAGCTATCTCAAAGTATGATTTTGAATTTTCGGGTATGCCGGTTGATTTCAGATGGAATGACATTGAAGGGTATGAAATGGTCTATTCCTTAAAAATGTAATACGTATCATCATCAACCATGTTCTGTGTGCATCCCTTAAAAAAATTATGTTTGTTTCAGAGATGAGTCGAAGCAACGTATATATGCTAGAAAGCCCTCATCTCGGCGTAGTCCTGTGGATCAATTCATTTCACTTCCATGTCAAATTGCTGCTTATTTAGCTGCTCACACATTTGGTATCCGTTTAGTCTTTCCTGGATCCATTTCACTTTTAGGCTACATTATGCGTAAGTACTGTGAATGAAGTATATTGAGCTAATCATTACTCTTTGCATGTCTTTAATTTAGAGTTGTTTATGAAGTCACACATTAAACTTACTAAATTATCACATAGGCCCTGTGTTGCTTGAAGGTCGTATTAAATTGGTTGAAGAAAACAGTGGGGTCCGGTTCAAACTTCGAACAAGGGACGACAATGATATTGATTCCTGTTTTGTAGATCGCCGTAATAGGTAAACATCCTAGAGGCATAAACTGTTTATCTAAGAGAAAGTTATTCTTCCTATATAAATTTTTTGTTTATTTATTTATTTATTTTATTGCATCTATATGTGCAGGACTGTTAAAGGCAATGTTCTTGTAATCTGTAGTGAGGGTAATGCTGGCTTTTATGAACTCGGTATAATGGTTACGCCACTGGAAGCTGGTTACTCAGTTCTTGGCTGGAACCACCCAGGCTTTGGTGGAAGCACGGTATTAAATTTTATCAGCTACCTTGTTGTGTCAGTATTAAGATTCACCTAACTTTGTCTAATTATATTATTTCTTATTTAGGGAATGCCTTATCCAGAGCAGGAGCTGAATGCAGTGGATGTTGTAATACAGTTTGCCATTCATGGTTTGAACTTTCCTGTTGAAAATATTATATTGTTTGGATGGAGCATTGGAGGCTATGCAACTTCCTGGGCTGCTATGAACTACCCAGACGTTAAATTAGTTGTGAGTTTTATTTTTGCCCCCTACAATTTGAAGCTGCTGTATTGCATTGATACTCCAATACATTTGTTTTTTGTCACTCCTGCTTCATAGGTTGTAGATGCTTCTTTTGATGATATTTTGCCGTTAGCAATACCACGGATGCCCAGTGCTCTTGAACCATTGGTGCGCCGAACAATTCGAGATTATATTAATTTGAATGTGGCTGAGCAATTGATTAAATATCCTGGACCAGTACAACTTATTCGAAGAACTGAAGATGAAATCATTTGTACTGAGTAAGTTAATGTTACATGGGCTGTACTTCTGTTTTTATTTGATTCCTGCGTCTTAGTTATCTTGTCTGTTACAGGGAAAATCACCTATCTACAAACAGAGGCAATGATTTGCTTGTTAAATTGTTAAAATATAGGTATCCTCTGCTCATGACAGCCGATGTAATGAGAATTGTTAATGAGTGGCTTGCTGCAGACGTCAATGGCCAAAGTAAGTGTGTGAGAAAATGTACATGTTATTGATCATGGGTCTATTATGCATTATTATTATTATTATTTTTACAAATATTACAATAATGTATTGAGAACCAAAATTTGTGTCCAAATTCACCTCTTTGTAGGTGTAAAAAACCTGTTAGTGTAGAAACTTGACTCAAATCATACTTGATAGTGGTTACCATTGATTCCCCCTTTAAAATACTACCTAGTGCCACACCACCATAACAGTAGAACAGATATTAAGTAATTTCAATTTCTTGAAATGATATAAGTGAGATCACTAAAAGTTGTTAGTTAGGTATAATTATCATAGAAATCAAAATTTGATTCAGCATGCTTAACAGTCTTCATATTCACGTCAACCAAACACAGCTTTTTTTCAGTGTGAAATTCCTTCGGGAATTTGCATCTTTGCATTTTTACCACAAAGCAGGATTCCTGCAATGAGTTGAATTTTAAATTAGAAGTGTATGACTCATGATTCATGCAGGTGGGAAAAAAAGGCACCAGACTAGTTTACCTCATAGATTGAAGAGCAATTCTTTGAGTGGTAGCATTGATAATATACTGATCTATTCAAATGATTAGTCCACCTCTTTCCCACGTGCCAAGGCTCATTGCATTCAACTTTCTCCTTTTTTACTTCCACTGAAATTGAACAGTTATCTTAATGTTATTGCACAGTTAAATTTGTTTTTTGAGTTCTTGAAGTGTCATGAATAATCGGATTACATTTTTTACTAATATGTACTCACAAAATGCTCGAGCTTGTTGGACAGATGAAGCAGGTGTTACTGGAGAGTATCTTCCAAAAAATCTCGGTAGCAAATTTGCAATTATGCTGATTAGGGGTACGAAAGCTACTGTCATATTACTTGTTTGGCTGCTATCTCCATTGGCTCTGACTGATTTTGTTGAGCGTGGAATTGCTGTCATTCCTCGGTTTTTACCTATGTATGAAAAGAAAGGGCTATGTTTTTGAGCTATTTTCTGTGAGCTGTTCTGGTACTTACACAATTATGTGGTGACAACCTTCAAGTGCTGCCGCTGTGCTAAAATCACAAGCAATCCCCAAAAGAAAACACAAACCCAAGATAAATTTCATCTTCACTCCCCACGAGTTGCACTTGAACTGGCTAGAGAATCTATGGGATGATGTATTTGTAATGTTGGAAGTAGGGCATTGGTCTGGAATGTTGCCCCCCCCCTCCCCCCTCCTTTCTCTCTACACACACCCTCCTCTTTCAAGCTGTGAGTTAATTGGATATCTAACTTTGACAACTGCTCCTCCCAAGAAATCCCATTGTGTGAAGCACTCAGATCTCGACAGTGTTGAAAGTGCTGTATCATCCACTCTAATCAGATCATGCAGGCTGTGAAGACATGTGCTTGTGCTGTCATTTTTCTCCCAGTTTGAATCTAATTTCACTGTTTTTTGTGGCTTTTAGATTTGCTATGGCAACACTACAGAGTTTCTGAAGAAAAGAAGCGCATTCTAAACTACTTCTCAGAGCACCCAGGCCTGTACCCCCTTCGAATTGGTGATGAGCTGGATACAAATTCCAAGATTCAAATTGTGCTTTATCTTGTAAGCATACGTTTTTTAATAGTTTTTTCAGAATTTTCTTTTAAAACATTGACATAGCTCATTTTATCTTAATCCTACAGTATGTTAATCACTATTTATTTTAATTACAGTGCAGGAAGTATATGCTGGACCTACGATCATCCCACTGCACTCCACTCCCGGCCTCTATGTTCAATGTTCCATCAGATGATTCAGCTGAGCCTAAAACTAACCAGTTATAGCCTTGTGTATCTGTAGATGTAGGATATTTTCTGTATCCCCCCCCCCCCCCTCCCTTTTTCATTGTTATAATTGCCAATCAACTGATTAGTAGAGAAATGTGTTCATTTTTAAGTTTCTGTGTTAATTCTTAAAGATGCTAGAATTTCTGAGTGTAGTTATTAATTTTCAGATATAATCCCCTTTTTATTTTTAACAGTGAGATTTACCATGCATTGTAATGACCTATTGGCTTTTTGAAATATTTGTTTATTACTCTTCATAAGTTATTCTTTGTTGCTCTCATATTTGTGTTATAAAATGTCATACTTCAGGAAATTTTAAATCCCTTTCCAGCAAGTGTGTAAGGTTCTTGTAACAGCCTGAACTACACATTAATATTTTATGTCCAGGTCCATTGGATTGGGATTTGGTCTCTTTCCAAATAGATATACTGAAAATGGTTTTTCGAATTCTATATTTTCAAAAGCCACTCAGCCATCGTATTTAAATTCACCATTACAGCTGTTGGTATACCAATCATGTGAGTAAATCCTAGTCAAAATGTCTAATTGATAAACTTGGGGTTCTAATTCAGTCATGTAGATGATATACCTAAACCTGTTGATTTGTGACCAATAAATCATTCCACATTTTCTAATGCAGAATCAAAGTTATTCATGTGAGAATTTATCTCCTATGCATTTGAAAGGGTAACAAAGAAACTGTTCTTGAGTTATATTGCTCTCTTTATTTCGAAACTGCTTTACAGCCAAGCCAGTTTGCTTTATAGCTGGTAAATTACAACATACATACATCCATACTTTTCTTGGTCGATTATGTAAAATTAAATTGTTAGAACTACAAACATAAGGAAATACCAAAGTGGTATCAAAGAGAATTTTCAAGACAATCACAATAAGATATTTACAGCCACAGGGTACAAAAATATTACTATAAAAAACATATACACAACACAACTAAGGCACTTTGCATTAATGGACAATGATAAAAAATGTAAGTCTGGTACTACTAATGATAAAAGTAAAAACTACTACACAAAAATGTGTAATACCTTCTCAATGGCAGAATCAGACTGAATAAGAAGCAAACTGATCATTAACTCAGGCTGCACTGAGTTTTCGGGAGCGTTTCAAGCAAAATGGAGTGTTTGGGTCAGTCAGTGGCTTGTTGCTTGGCTGAGGTTCAAAGTATTTATACTTTGGAATAGGATTAGGTTTGTGAACAACTTGTTTCCTCAGAAGAGCTATTTCTTCCTTTTCTTTTTTATCTTCCTCTGCCTTCCGCTGCAATGGGGAGGATATTCAGTTACATTGCTGATTCCAATAATAGTAGAGGACTGCAAATGTTACAAATTCCTACCTGTTGCCTTGCTGCTTCCATTTCTTGTTCTCTCAGGAGAAGTTGGCGATCATACTCCTCCCTATCCTTGGCACGAATCTCTGATGCTAAAGTTACATCAGGCAAAGGGAGTTGCCGGTTGGGTTTCACTGGCTCAAATGGTTTCCTATGAAGGACAGTAGGAACACGAGCCTTGAACTGTGGCATTAGTGCTGGCTGAAAGGCCAAATCAGACATACAAAATTAGATTAAAACTTCATCCATGTGACACAATTAAATTACAGTCCAAGAATGATAAGCTGCTGCAGAAGACATGATGAACATTTAGTATTAACCTTTGGTTCGGGAATTTGGGAATTTCCCTTTTGAATCACAGGGTTGACCTTAGACAAAGTAGGTGTCCTTCCACGGACTGCAGGGGATGCAGAGCGCTGAATCCGGGGTGGTGTCTTAAATGAAGGCAGGGGATTGGCATGGAAAGCAGGCTTCTGCAAAAGCTGTTTCTGGAACTGAATTTGTAAAAATGTTGACAAGCTGAAATCATTTGGTGCTGCTACTTCATGAACATGAATTCTGAAATTAAGGCATTCAAACCTCTTTAAGCTTCTCTTCACGTCTTAAAATTCTTTCTTTTTCTCTTTCATCAAAGCTGAATGGTTTGACCGCTGTCGTTGTCTTAATAGTTTGAGCGTTGAAAGGAACACCAAAATGACCAACTGGCTTTTCTTTGACAACTTGTACGCCACCATTTTCCTATAATGGAAATCAAATAAAAATTTGTCAGGAAACTGCATCAGCTTTATGATCTACATACAACAAGATATTCACTACCTCCAAAACTTTCATCATGACTTTGTTCATGTGTTTCAGTGGTGTTGAGCGTTGAGTTGCTTCTTTAGAACGTTTCAGGGCATTCGCACAAAACGAAGGAGACTTAGGTTCTGTCAAAGGGTATTGTTTCTTCTCAGCAATACCAACAGGTCCTTCTAAAATCTTTTTAGGAACAGGTCGAGCAGTGAATTTCACAGGTTCAGGTGCAGTATTTACTTCCTAAATTAAAAGTTAATTAATAAAAATTTGAAAGAAATATACTATTATGATGAAATTTACATTTAAAAAAATACATTAAATAGCACATTACCTTTTTCTTGATTTCCGTTATATTGAAAGGTTCAGGAAGGGTTGGAGGCTTCCTCTCAATCTTTGGTCCAGTAGAACCAGATTTCAATATTCTTTCAGGCAAGGGCAAGGGTTTTATCTTATTTCTAGAACAAAGGTAAAATAAATAAATAACGGACACTGTAAAAGAGAACAATCCAATGGTGATAATAACTTACTTGCGTATTTCTTCAAGTTCTAACGCTTCCTGCTCTTCTCTTGACAAAGCAGTGGTAGGTCTGTTGCGATGTTTGACTCTAAGAGCAGGTGACTGCGGAATAGTGGCTTTCAGCGAAAGAATGGGTCCCTTGACCTTAAGTGCTGTCAAAACAAATTAGAAAGTGGTGACTGTTGGCATGAACAGTAGACTACCAACAGGCCTGAAGTACACAAGTTACGCAATCTTACCTGGAGAATTTTGACGCTTAACTCGGAATCGCAGAGGAGTTTTGTTTTGAAATCTAATTGTAGCTTCAGCCAGGCTAACAAATGGTTCTGAAGGCTTAGCTCGAAGAGGATTCAAGAGACGGTCTGTAGATCTGGCACGAACTTTGTTCTTGAGCGACATTACCACAGCTCTGTCTGAGGACTGAGACCTTCCCCTGGGTACTTCATCTCTGTTTTCAGACACTACTTTGGCAACTGATCTGGACCTAAGCTGAATAGGAGGGTCACGTGCAGCTTTGTCAGCTCTGGTCTCCATTAAATGTTCTTTGTCAGGAAGACATGGTACTTCAATGCCATCAATAACAGATGTCAGTTGGCCAGTAAGGCCACGCTTTACTTTGCGTGTAGAACCATGTAGAGTCTTGATGGCTTGTTCAAGAAGCCCATCCATATTCATTGCAGGAGGAGAAACTTCTAAATTAGTTGCGGCAGCAACCTCAGGTTTGGGAGTAAGTTTCATTCGTTTAGCAGGGGATATAGGGTCAGGATTTTTTACTTTCTCTTTACGAGAGCGCTTGACACTTGCAGGAGTCACTGCAAGTTTGTGCACAGGTGTCAACTTCAAAGCAGTGAGGGCAGCAGCAACTTTGCCTGGCGTGGTAGTTGACTGCTTGTTACGGCCTAGGCGTTTGACACTAACAGGTGTTTTAAGCCTAATAGGAGTCTTCACAGTAGATGTCCTTTGTCTCCCAGACGATCTCCGTTTTCCAGGAGTCTTACTTTTACGGCCACATACGGTTGGAGTTTGTACAGATTGGCTGAGTCGAGCAGACTTTCTTCTAGACTCGTTCATGGCAGGAGGAGTAGAAGAGGAGTGAGGAGCTGACAAACAATGAAAAAGACTCTGTGTTAGTAAGGTAATAACAAGCACACACATTTGTAACAATCAGCTGATGCTGAAACTCCTATAACCTGATGTTTTCTTGGCAGATACAGCCCGTGGCCCTCCAGGAAGAACGACTCCGGGAGTTCCTTTAGCACGGGTGAAAGACTCCTCATGTTCAACATCTAGACGCAAAACCGAGAGGGAAAATGAAAATCATTATTAATAAACTAGTTATAAATACAAGAGCGGTAAGCAGGCAATGAGCCTCACCAAAATATCTTGAGACGTCTGATTCATCATCATCCATAGCTTCGGCAAAATTAACATACGTCGGAGCCTCAAAGTCATAGTCCATGATAAAAACAAGATTTCAGGCACTTCTTTCTTAAAAATATCAGCCAAAATATTTCTTCACGAAGCAAGAACAACACCGACCGGCCAACCAACGGTCTGAATTTGAAAATAACCAACAGGTAGTGTTGCCAACAGAGCGGCATCAAGATGGCCGCCGTTCAACTGTAAATTCGGTTTAGGAGACGTCGGTTTGCAACAAAAATGTCCCGACAACAACAATACCCTAAAATATTCAGAAAATGTTGAAAATCGACGAAAACATTTGTTAGATAGCAAAAGCAAGCGAATTTATAATGAATGTTTGTTAGGTTCCACGAGCGATGTTTACAGATAGGCTACCGGCAGCGAGGCTATCTTGGTACACTATGAGAAATTCAAACTCAAGCGACTCAAGCGCCGTTCAAGATCGGAAGCTGGGCAACCGGCTCAGCACAAGTGCTGTGCGGGTGGTGCCGGCACACCCGCTAACACCCGCGGCCCAGGCCCAGACCACCTGTCAGCATGACGTCCATATGGTTCCCTACTTTGACGTCTTCGAAGACGTGGTTCTATGACAAATGCTCTCAGGCACTCGGGTAAGGACTTCCCCGCGGCCCATACCACCGTAATGTGCCTTCTAATCTGAGCCTAAAATATATTTTTAAGGCTGAATTTCAAAGCGGAGTTGAGGAACATTAATAATTCAAAACAAATTGGCATATTTTGAGATAAGTTATTTACTTATGTACAATTGACAATTACATTTACAACAATAGGCACACACTTTGGTTTCTTTACACTTGATGACAACTACAGAATGACACAAATTACTTTAAGAAAAACAAAAGAGAGGTATGGCAGAGCATGACAATCACTTAACCAGAAATCACAAGATCATTACATAAAACACCAGCTTCAGAAGGGCAGACAGGGCGGGTGTTCTAAGTCGGACTTTTCTCTGGTAATACTGTACATGCAAGCATGCGGGCGTTTTTGCCTACCCAGCCATAGAGGTCTAATCTAAGATCGTCTGGACGTCTAAATGGTCACATTAGATATGGCATTTCTGGCTGGGTATCGACCCTGACCTTAGCAACGGCCCCGTGCGAGTATGCAACCAGTCCGCACGCGTTACAGTACAACCAGAAAAAACGTCTGGCGTATAACACCCACCCTGTACTCCAACCTTACAAAAAAAGTTCTTCAAATACTTAAAAAATTGATCTGTCAAAATTTAAAGAAGCCGATACAACACAGAATGAGAATGGGCTTAAGTCTGAAGGTGATAATGGTACCACCACATGAATCATGATTTTAATGTTGTACAGCTTGGTTTTAGAATTTCTTCCCTATTTTCACCAAAACAGCTATAAAAACTTAATGTACTGATGTAAAATGGATGAGATCTTGATGTGAATGACAGAAACTTCATAGGTGACAAGTTACACTTAGGGAAGATAGTACATGAAAAATCTTAAGGAATGCAAGTGTTCCCCCTTTTAAAAAAGAATGAACAGTAGATATATACATCCTTTGTAGAGAGAAGTGATTGTATCTTTTGAGCACTGCATCTTGGTGCCCAATGACAGAAGCTTATTTAAAGCCATACTCCTCACACTACACTGTTGTTCTGTTGCTATCGCCTGCCAATTTATCCACTATCTGTAAACAGAGAAATAGAAATCAATAAAACTTAAGTGTTTTAAAAATGAAAGATTAAGCTATTTACAAAACAAAAGATATGCATCAATTATCCCCCAACAGCATGCATAACTACAGTCTACTGCTTCATATCAACAAAAGCTGATTGAAATAAAATGATCCATTCTAGCAGTGTGAGGTTGTATGCCCAAGAGCATCTGGTATCTCATGCTAATTTTAATTCAGATAAATAGATAGGCAAGTTAACTGGATTACATTTTTTTAAATGACTTAACACATAGCTAGTGAAAGGTTTTAGAGAGAGGAATAAGGTTTTGATACCCACTGATAAGATGGAGGGAAACATACTTCAAAAAAGGGTTTGAGAATTTTAAATTTTTTATTAAACAACACACACACACACTAGCAGGTCATTAAGATTGGCTATTATTTTCAAAATAATCGCATACCCCACGAACTCCTGGAAAGTTCAGGAAAGTCCCCAGCACCGGTACTCGTCTCAAGAAGTTTATAGCGACTGGGAAGAATCCACTGCAACATGCAAATAAAAATTTGTGATTCAAGTAAAACAAAACTAAAACCCTAAAACCATTATTCCCATGACATTAATATTTTTACTGAGGTCATGAACCAGTCAAGTGATTATTCTGTGAGCGGTAAGATATTTATCAGTTGAGAAAACAAAATGTAGATAAGCTAAACTTCAACCCCCACTCAGTTCAAAGTACCAACCAAGGCAAATGTGACCAAACAAAAACTACAGAACATGTGGGCACTACACAAAAATTACATGAGTCATGAATTCATCAAAATTCCATAATTTGAGATCTTAAAGAGCCATGTTGAATTCAAGGAAAAGGAAATAAAATACCAACCTAAAGAGCAGCACAAAACCATAGGTCTCAAGACACATTCCAATAAGGGGCCAGCCAAAAAGAACAACGGCTATGCCTCCAAAAAATGCAATAGAGGCCTTAGTTTTATGCCTCTGGAAGAAGAAACGAAATGTTCGCTCGAATCCAATCACACATGCTAGACCACTGATAAATAAAATCTGGGGGAAAAAATTCAGTGTAAATTATCAAAACAGAATATCCCTAAAATGATGATTAACAATAGCGAGAGGTAGAATATTTATTACATATCTATCTATCTATATATATATATCTATATATCTACTCACATTTCCTATTGCAAGAAGACCCTTATCAAATATAAGAATAACACCAAGGAATAAAAATGAAATTCCAAAGGCCGCCAAGCCAACCCCAATTTCTGAAATGAAGAAATAATGACATTTTTAAATTGATAAATAAGAAAGATGTCATTGGTGAGTATTGGTACACAAAACAGGGACCAGATCACAGACACACAAAAAGTATCAAAACTAAATACTGTGAAGAAAGAAAAAAACGTTCGTATAAGTGGGTGAAAAAATTTGACAAAATGAGAAGAAAGTAGTCATGAATCAGGAGACGTTGATGGTCCTTCACCTTAACGTTATGTGCGCGAATTATTGACAAACATATTCTTGACCATAGCGGCACCGGCTAACCGCACTTCATTCATAAATATGGTGCGAGGTAGTTTATTTATAACCTGCTCGCTTTGACAAATAAACTCGATCAGAGAGAATTCAAAATCCCACAAACCGCAATTGAAAAAAAAAAATGTTTTAAACACTAGTAATAAAAGTAAATAAATAAATATTACTACAACAGTTGTGTACCTTCACTTCGTATACTTTTTAAACATCATGCATTTAACGGAAAAGTTGTGAAGGAAAAGGAGCAATGAAAAAGATGGATCGGTACGTACTTTGAACATCAGAAATTTCGAACATTTTGGATTTTAAAAGACCAGAAGCCTTCCAAATCCTAACCTACAGCACCACGTCATAAATGACTTGTGTCTCTGAAGGGTTGACGGTTTCTACATTTCGAAGCTGACCAGAAAATTTTTCATCACTTCACCGTCTGGTATGAAAAATCAGGTCGGCGGCGCAACATGAAGTCTGCTCTTCCCCTCTAAACACATCTTGCCTTTGCCGTGCAGAAGCTGAAGATTTGTAATTTTGTAGAGTCAGTTGTCTGATTAAACTTGCACTGATGTCTCACATCGACATCGTGTGTGCATAAGCTCAAAGACTGATAAATGTTTCATTTTGGTATGTATCGGATCAAGAAAATAATCTAATCAAACCTAGCCACTCATCTATAAATTTACGTATTCATGACAGATGACAACAAATACTTATGCGTCACAACTGCAAAATTTGACACATTAAACATTTCCATTTTACTTCCTGCTTATTTGCCGCTTACAGCCTTAAACATTTCGTCTTCTCAGCCATTTATAATAACGATAATAATCATATCATACAGTATTGTGTATGTTTGTTTTCAGTTCGCGAATCTAACCTTTGTCTTCAAGCCCTCGAGATCTCAGGTTTCGCCCACAGCGTCTAAGATTCACATTATCATTGTATCTTGAAGTGAAAATGGACTCCAACACAAGCGAAGAAACCCAACCAAATACTAGTGCGCCTGGTAAGGAAACTAACTCTGGCATTGAAGATGATCTTCAAAATCTCTCTGTCGGCACTGCTGAAGAAAATGTGGAAAACAGTGACGTAGATGAAGATTCAAAAAAAGATGAGTCCATCGATTGGGATGATATTATAGATGAAGTAGCATTGAAAGATAAAGAGATTTCTCTAACTGACGAGGAGAGGAAGGTAGGCTGTGAGCTATTTTGAGTTAAGTATACATCTGTACAACGAAAATTCATCTTGAATAATAATTATTTTCCTTGTTTGAACAGCGCTGCAAAGTCGAAGCAGAAGAAATAAAAGAAAGGGGTAATGAACAGTTTCGTTTAGGAGATTTCAGGGAGTCTGCTATCTCTTACACCCTAGCTCTTAGGACGTGTCCTATTTCTTATCCCAATGACAGATCCAAGTTGTTTTCAAATAGAGCAGCCTCTAAAATGAAGTTGGTTAGCATCTTTCAATTTTCCTGTTTTAGATTTATGTAAATAATTTGTGTAATTTTGGCTTAATGTTTCTATTGAACTTACCGTCCATTTTAATCTAATTTTAGGGATTGTCAAAATCTGCCATAGAGGATTGTAGTCAAGCGCTGGAACTTTCACCTACCTTTATTCGTGCTCTTTGGCGTCGTGCTCAGCTATATGAATCAACTGATAAATTAGATGAGGCTCTTGAGGACTGCAAAAAAATCTTGGAAATTGATCCTAGTCATAGAGAAGCTAATATCGCTGCGAGGGTAAGTAATATATTAATGTTTATATTTATGAACCTAACTGAAGGCTGACATAGTATAATTGGTTTATTTTTTGCGAATAGAGACTTCCTGACCTCATAAATGAACGAAATGAGAAATTGAAAACTGAAATGATGTGTAAGTAGTATTTTCCTGTTTGTTATAAATACATTACTGTCTCAAAATAACCAGGCTAAATGTCAACCTTCTTTATTTGCAGCTAAACTGAAGGATTTGGGTAATCTTTTCCTGCGGCCATTCGGACTTTCAACAGACAACTTTCAAGTTAATCAGGACTCTGGCTCAGGTGGATATTCAATAAATTTCAAGCAATCTTATTTGTCTTGTGTCATTGAGAACTTCTCAGAGTCCAAAATTCTGCTTCTAAACCCTATTCATCTATAATTAATAAGTCTTTGAAAACTTCCAAGACAAATGAAGTTCTCAAACTGATGGATGGTTAATTCAATGTCATATGGGTGGGTTGTAGTTGCTTTCTGTGCAATATTTCTACACCACCCAATAAATCATGTGCATTTGTGGATCCGCCCACATGGAAAACATTCACAGATAGACAAATTAAGGGATACAAGGTTGTGGAACATGGTTTTTACTTATTTCTCAACAAAGTAGTGATGAAGTTACTTGTAAGACATAGATATGTGCTTGATGTTCAGCATCATGAAATTCTACTTATTTAAAAGGGCCTCAGGCAACAAAATCTGTTCAATTCACAAAACATAATACTGTGGTTTTCATGGAGCAAAAAAAATATAGAAAATATAAATTCAGATTGCTTTGAGGACTATGCAAACATGCAAAATTGTAACAAATTCTATAGCCAACGCATCAATACAGGTAGCATAATACTGTTACTTAAATGCAACGAGCAAGGTTGCTGTCAATCTTATACCAAGAGAGTGGTGGGTAGAATAATGCAAAAATAAACTTCATGATGGGATGAAAGAATTAACATAAATATGAAAGGTGACCAACACTGACAGTGAGGCATGATAAGAACCGATCAGAATGGATCGGTTATAAATGAGTATTAAACGGTATTAAACAAAAACAATAATTAACAACCTAACAGGTATTTCAAGTCTAACTACACAGATTATTCAGTCTATCAGGCATAAGCCATAAAAGATCATAAATAACACAAAGCACACATAGCTTCATTCTCCTAATTTGAACAAGGCAAATAAAATGTGAGAAAAATCAACACATAGTTGAATAAAAAAAAAAAGTAGAAGAGCACCTACTAAGAAGCTGATGAAAATTGCTATATAATTTCTGATGACAAAAAGATTGAATAATTTGCTTTTAAGGTTACATTTACGATCATCTCCTTGGCAGAATGAATCAGAATCCTCACTGTACCCCAATTTAGCAGCCATTCGAAATTATGGGACACACATTTCAAAAACAAACTAACAAAAATACATATGTACATATATAAATAAAAAACATAACTACAGAAACTAAGAAAGGAGGCTTCAAAAGTTATAATACTGATGAGTTAAACTTTATGGCTAAAATTGAAAAATTAAATTTGACATTTTCACAAATTTTGTTTTAAGTAATTTAATTCTATAATCAAAGTTAAAAAATAAAAACAGAAAATTCAAAGCACATTTCCCTCTTAGTTTAAACAGCATACAAATTCTGATATCATCATTTCTCTTAAAGGCTGCGAATGTGTCTTGAACGTCTCAAAAGTAGACAGCAAGAACTGAGACCATTCCCTTTACTTGTCAAGGCATTCACATTCACTGCCTTTCTTGAATAGTCAATCCGTTCTGAGAACACCTGCAGAGGTACATCAAGTACACTATTTAAGATAATACAAGTTAATTAAAAATAATATTTAAATTAAAGACAAAGTTTACCTTAGAAGATTCAGGTATTTCATCTTCAGAACTATGGATGAGTGTGCCATTTAAATACATGACGTTGGCAGCTTTGTCTTCAGGAACAGTCAATGTTTGATAGCTGTATGTTGCTTCTCTTTCAATTCTCTGTAATGGAAGATTTCTGAATTGAATGATATTTGTAGTAAGACCCCCAATCTCTGGAATTATTGTGTATTTATTCATTTTTATCTGCTACCTTCAAAACTTCCTGGGAGTGTTTGCCAGAGCTTATACACATTAACTCTGGTCCAGCCATTGAAACCAAACATTTAAGATGAGTGCTACCAGACACCTGTCAAAATACCAATAGCTTGTAGAGATAAGTACATTGATATGCAATATCTTCACAAAATGCTCACCTTTACTGGGGTGCAAGGGAATTCTGGAAAAGCCGCTGCCACAGCACGTGCTCCAGCCTCATTAGTAAAGTCTGATATCCCAACAAAAAATTCACGACCTAACAAACATCCATAAAAACAATTTAACGATCACTTAGGAGTTTACTTGTATTTTTGACAATATATTAAATACAACTTATTCAGTACCAGTGAAAAGAACATCGCCTCCTTCTAACTTAGCATTTTCATCAGCAATTTCTATGATTGGTAAATCCAACTCTTTCTTGAGAACTGCTCGTATGGTTTCTATCTGTAACAAAGAGGAAAATTATAATGTTTTATTCCGTTATAGTACTGAAGTAAAATTCTTTTTCATCCCAGATCAATTCATTTATTTTAAAATGATTTTGTCAGTTTGATAAGCAGGCATAGGTGCTGACGTCTTTACAATGCTCAGAAAATGAAAAGCTGTGACAGCTGGCCCCGCAGTGACAGCTGACCACACGCATTCCCTACGAAGGTTATGATTACGTCGAGTGCACCTGAGCACTTTCGGTGTTAAGTCAACATCAGGTGGTACTGATGACCAACCTGGTGATCACACTGTTGACTGTGGCCCGTCTAGCCCCCCGGCCCTCTACCCCACTTCGCACCGTCTTCGGGGCCTTCGGGGGCCCCCCGGCAGCGAAGGGGCGTCCAAGTGTCACATCTGACACTCCCTCATGAGCAACCTGGACCGGGGGCCGTAGGCCGTAAGGGCATCCCCGCACCCTGCTTGTCCTCCTTCTGCACACACCTCCTTTGCCCTGGCCGTAGCGGGCCTGGTGATGAGGGCGGAACCGTTGCAAACCACGGCGGCGTCCTCGGTGAGAGGGCAGCAGGGTAACGCCTCGTCCGGGGGCAGCTCGACCACGTCCAGTCCCAGCTCGCGCAGCAGACGGACGTATGCCTCGTGCTGACGACGAGCAGCCTCGAGCTGGGCTGCGTCCGAGGACCACGACTCTGGGACACGGCAGACTACGGCGTGCGTAACTTTGAGAGACGGCATCGTCGTCGTCGTCGTTGTCGCTCCTCCAGCACGGCCTCTGTGGCCTCCTCCAGCGCTCGGCGCTCGGCTCAGTTCGGGCGGTACAGCGAGCGGTGTACAGATCGCCTTTTGTCTGGCTCCCCCTCCCCCACCCCTTCCTTTTTGAAGTGTCATCTGCATTTATGGTTTGAGAAGTTGCCGATAGAGGGAGGTACTGATGCCTAAATGCGCCTTGGGCAGGTCCTGTAATTTTGAGGCTGGATTTGGCGTATTTAGGGCAATTAAACGTGAGTTTTTCGGCATTAAATCTGTTTGTCTGCTATTAATTTTTGTTAACTGATATTTTGTGTTCGCTACACGTTCAATAAACAAGTGTCTTGCGCTCCATGGCCTAAAACTGCAGCGGAATCTGAGGGTTGGAAACATCAAGTTAGTCTTAAAACATGTTCAATATTTAGTTAAAACATATTCGGTGGTATTTTTTCTCATTCATCTTAATCTCGTGAATCCTTTTCATCTTGGAGATTTGGGTCTCTTTGTTTTTGTTTTTTCTTTGGTTGGCTCATTCACTGGTCGTAGCGCCCTTGTCCAGAATTATTCTGGAAAAGCAATACATGTACATATGAAATATTTGTCCTAAATTGACAACATTCATTAGATCTGGCGAATTGGTTTTTACCATACCTATTTGCAGTCACAATCAACCAACAAACGTTTAAAGTCCTAAAGTGTCTGTATGCATATCTGACAGTTCCATTTTGTAGGTTAGAGTTACCTTACATGAACTAATGTCAAATTTGCCAAACATACTTTTAACGAACTTATCATTTGGCATGCCATTAAGTGTGTTTTTATCATCCTAATGAGTGAAGTTAAGTCACAAGTATTGTTCAGATCACAATGTACATTTATGATTCAAGGACACCAAATAACAGTGTGTTTTTATTGACTACAGGCTCATTTTTAGTTAATTTTCTTTATTTGATTGCAATAAGTGTTCTTATCACAATTGTTGGTAGTTATGTTCTATTTCAATTTGTGCATACATGTGAATTCTTAGCAAATGTTCCAAGTTTCTATTGCACTTATAGTAATCTCTATTGTATTCTGTTTTGATGTTTCAGTATGTGGAGATTTACTTGAAGAGGAAGTTGATAATTACTTCTTACTGTAGTATCTGAGAAACAAAATGATTCTTTTAATAAGTAAATAACCTGTAGACAGTGTAAACTCAGAATATAGTGGTACATTTTCAATTATGAGACTTTCTACCAAAAAAAAACTACAGCAGATATAGACAGAAGGGTTTTATAACCAGCTTTGTGCTGGTGGTGCAATGAGCAAAACCCACCGAAGTGTTTGCAGAAGTGGAAATAACAACATTCTCCCTGCTGTATCCAGTAATAACTCTGCAGTGATCACTGACAATAGTACTAGCATTCACAATCGACGTATTGCACGAAGCAGCAACTGGAGAGGTTCTACGTCAGGTGTAGATGAAGACAGTGATGGTGGGGGTGGAGTAAATAGACCTAGTCGAACTATTCCTAGTAAAAAGAGAAATGTGCAAGGGGATACTGTTGTTCAAAATCCATCAAACCTCTCTCGCTCACCTCACAAATTCAGGGATGCCAATGAAGGGTAAGTAACTTTGTCAATGTTTTTTTTGTAGTAACTTCTTTCTTACACTGGTATCCACTTTTTTACTCTATCAATTACCTTAGTCAGTGAATTTTCTCCTAATGACTCCTTAGATGTTAACTAAGACTTTTTCAAATAAGGTATTTTTTCTTTTAACTTAACAAGTTTGAGTATAATCAAAGTATGTATCTGAGTAAAATCAGCATTTTGAACGAAGGAATTAATAATTAATCTAGTTCTATTGCATAGGTGTGTATTTTAACTGTGTATTATTTTATCTTCAGTGTATGGCACTAACTTAAATTAAATACCTGACCTGGTTTCTTTTTTTAAAAATGGTTTTTATTAAATCAGTTTTGGGTCATGTTTCTTTTTTCTTAATTAAAAGCTCTGAAAGTCTCAGGTTTTGTCCAAAGAATTGTGAGCAAGTCATGTCAAGTGGTACAGATAACACTTGATTGGAGGAACAGGGACGGCCTAACTGCTGTCCGTCTGTCTGCCCCTCCCGTCTGCGGTTGGCCTGTCGGCGCGGGCCGCGCGCCTTTGGCCTGCAGGTCGGAGGTCTTATGGTCGGACAGGCGGTGGCAGCTGGCTTACAGTTTGGCGCTCTGCCCGACCGTCCGACCGTCTATCTGATCCGCTTGTCTGTCTAGCTAGCTATCCACCAATCTATCTGTTTGTCCATCTACCTATCTATCTTTATTACTGGCTGGTCCGGCTTCTTGGTTTGATGATCTGAGACACAGATACTGATGGTTCTGGTGGTCTTTAGCTTTCAAGCCAGAAAAGATAAGACTAGACAGGTGCTTTTCCTTTTGTTTTTGCCACTTTATACTTTTAAATGTATTGTCTTCCCACCTTTAAATGTTGAAAGTGGAGAACCATTGGTATTGTCTTCCCTCTCATATCCTTAGTAAAAATAGAAATTATTCACCTATTTGGATACATTACATTTAAGACAATAAAATAATGCAAAATTTTAAAATTGTTGTTTTTTGTTAATTTTTAGAAAAAAGTGGTAACCGAATTTTAAGGAACAAAACATTTACTTTTTCTTATCCCATGACATTATTTGTTTTGTTTTTTAGCTCAAGACAAGATGGTTCTCCTATTCCTGGCAAGGGCCGATTGCAATCATCTCAGCACTCCCCAGCAGGCCGTGTAACTAGTTTCCAAAGCCGCAATAACAACTATAGCAGTTGCACAGGATTTGGCACAACGGGGACGGGAAATTCTGGCCTCGGACATTCGCCAAGGGTATGTGTCTCATTAAAATCTGTTCAAATACTTTCTACTGATCATATATTTTCTTTTAATAAAATACTGTTGATTTTTATTTATTTCTTTTGAAGGGGAGCTCTTTCTCAAATTCTGTTTGTCGAGGTGGGTCGCGGCGTGGTTCCCGCGCCCGACCCCGCTCCAGCTCCAGCTCTAGTGTGCAGCACCCATCACCAAGCCGCTCGGATGCGGTGCCCAATTTACCATCCCAGGAGAAAAATGCCAACATTCCAACTCCCAGATATACACGCACAACAAATGCATCTCCTAGCCCTGTTGGGTTAGACAAAGTTGAGAATGATGAAGGATGCAGCACTCCTACAGCACTTGAGGAGTGTCCCTTTGCTAGCAGTGCCAAGGCTTCAGTTACAGTTAGGGCTGCTGGAGAAACACTAGTCAATCAGGGAGGGGAAGATGTCGTTGATGATGGCCTCCTTGCACTTGACAGTGAGACAAAAGTGGAAGATGCACTGTTGGTTGGACCTGAAATATTGCCAGCAGTTATTTCTTCTGTGGCATCAGAAGGGCAGGCACAAGATGATGACGAGGAGAAAGCTATAGGTGTTTCTCCAGATGGAAGGTACGAATTTTTGTAATCATATTGATGTTTTGTTTTTCTTATGCATTCTTTTTCTAGAGAGTTGTAATAAAGACTATATGTTTCTTTGAAGGTTTTTAAAATTTGAGGAAGAAATTGGTCGGGGAAGTTTCAAAACTGTGTATAGAGGTTTGGACACACAAACTGGAGTTGCAGTTGCCTGGTGTGAATTGCAGGTAAAAGTTTTCAAAATGAATTTTTGTCTTTTTATTAAATATCTTATTACATATTAATGTGCACTCCTTAAGAGCTTAGCTGTGTACTGGTTTTTATTTTGTTGATATACCTACAGGAAAAAAAATTGAACAAAACAGAAAGATTACGGTTTCGTGAAGAAGCAGAAATGTTGAAAGGGCTGCAGCACCCCAATATTGTACGATTCTATGATTATTGGGAAGTAACCCTCACTAAAAGGAAGTATATTGTTCTTGTAACTGAATTAATGACATCAGGCACTTTAAAAACGTAGGTTGTTTGTTACCGTATGCTCACTGACAAGTTACCTTTTAGGTTGACTAGTTTTTACAATCAGCATATCCTTTCAGATATTTACGACGATTTAAGAAGATCAATCCTAAGGTTTTGAAGTCATGGTGCCGACAAATTCTAAAAGGGCTTAGTTTCCTGCATAGTCGAAGTCCGCCCATAATACACAGAGATCTAAAATGTGACAACATTTTTATCACTGGCACAACTGGATCAGTAAAAATTGGAGACTTGGGTCTTGCTACTCTTAAAAATAGATCATTTGCTAAATCTGTCATTGGTTTGTATAATCACTTTATTTATTTCTCCTAGTATTCATTTGTAAGGATTCTAATTATTTTATTTCGTTTACTTAGGTACCCCTGAGTTTATGGCGCCAGAAATGTATGAGGAACACTATGATGAAAGTGTTGATGTATATGCATTCGGAATGTGTATGCTAGAAATGGCCACATCAGAATATCCATACTCAGAATGTACAGGCCCTGCACAAATCTACAAAAAAGTCATAAGTGTCAGTGTCACTTAGAATTTTAATTTGATTGTCCAATTCTGAATGTTCAAATCTTATCTTATTCTCTAAAATTTATCCTCTAGGGAGTAAAACCTCAAAGTTTTGAAAAGGTAGAAAATCCAGAAATACGTGATATTATTGAGCATTGTATAAGATTAAAGAGAGAAGAGAGGTATGTCTATTGTTTATCAGTACAATGTGGAAGAGTTTTGTTATCTAATTCATTTTTTTAAAATGCTGACATCTGTCTTTTTTATCTGTTATTGTTTATCTATTTGTTTTAAGACCTGGAATCAAAGACTTATTAAACAATGAGTTTTTTGCCGAAGATTGTGGTTTACGAGTAGAACTAGTTTCTAGAGAAGAGGCAGTTGCATCTGTTGCATCAAAAGTAGAATTTAGATTAAGAGTTTTGGACCCTAAGAAACGCTCCAATAAGCATAAAGAAAATGAAGCAATACAGTTTGATTTTGATATCATAAATGACAATGCTGATGAAGTTTCCCAAGAGATGGTTTGTAATATTAAATATGTTTTGCATCAGTCTGACTTTAGCATACTTGTTTCTAAGAATTTTTCTCACAGGCTAATTCGGGATTAATTATGGAAGAAGATGCACGGGTGGTGGCCAAACTTATTAAGGCGCAAATTCAATCCTTAACAAAAGAGCGAGAAGAACGTCGCCAGCTTGCAAGTGGCCAGTTTCATCCGCTTGATGCAGAGGTTGGAGAATTCAGAGACCAACAACGTGATCTAACCACGGGCTCAGGTAACCACTGACTCATTTTTAATACCTTCATATATCAAACTAACAATGCTTTCCAGTGCCCTCATGTACATGTACAATTTTTTTTCTTATGCTGCACATAAGAATTTTCTCCGGATTCTGGATATGTGACAGTTCATCAAACTGATCAAATCAGCATGTCCATGCAAGCTGGTAACCAGCAAACTTCCATTGTAACTGAGATTACCTATTTACCTGAAACCTCAAATGTGGTCATAGCACCACAGAGAATGGAATCAATTCAGGTAAGGGGTGTTATGTGTTAAAATTAATACTTTTACAAATGATAGTGTATGAAATTGAATTAAACTTTCTTGCTTGTAGATAACTGAAAATGATGAACAACATGTAGAGTTAGGGGATGTCTCACACTCAAGTGTGCAACAATCATTGATGCAAAGTCATATTGCACCTCAAATACCTCAGCCTCAGAGTCAGCCTCATTCGCAGCTGCAGACACCCAATACTTTGAGTCAAAGTCAATCTACAGGTCAGATACCTATGCAGCCCTTATCACAAGTTCATATGCAACAGTTAACTCCACTTCAGATTCAACCTCAAACACAAGATCAAACACAGGATCAAATTCAAGATCAGGTCTCTGCTGGTCAGTATGAGACAATGCTTGAAAACCAGCATGAGTCCTCTCTAAGACCATTTTCTGACCCTCAGCAAGAATTGTTGATTTCTGATGTACTTCCTCAGTCAGACCTTAAAGAACACTCTCAAATGAGTGCTGATCTAAAAACCGAGCATCATGGTGATCTGTCGTCTCTTCCTCATACAGTGGTTTCTACTCAACCCCAGGGACTGACTCAAACAACTTTGTTACCCCAACTCACTTCAGAAGATCAAATAAAACTTCAGTCAGCTTTAGAATTACAGCCCCAAACATCACAGAATCAACCTCAACTTCTACCAAGCTTACACGAGACTGTCAATCAGACAGAACTTCAAGAAAAAGATGGTTTCCGAAATGTGTGTCATGAATCAGATGTCAAACTTGGGGCCTCTTCAGACAGTCAACCACAGATTTCATCCAGGAATGACCAGTTACTCTCCCATGAAGCTTGCCATGTCATTTCAGCACCCGTTGGCCAAGATATTCCTACAACAGAATCTCATCATCAGTCATATGATACGCTTAGTAAAGATACTGAGAACCTACAACAATCACGTTTGACTCAAGTGACAGTCCCATTGGAACAAGTTCAAGAAACAATGGTTAAGGAAGAACAACATTCTGATCAACTGCAGCCTGTATACAATACTGTAACACTAGCACCATCTTCATCTAATGTTTCGCATCCCACCCAAGTATTCCATCAGGTGAGTATTTGTCCTCTATCTTTTACATTGCCGTGCATACTTTGCCGCAATAGTGGTCAATTTATGATTTGTTCTGTTATTCTGTTGTTAATAGGCCTCTCAGATACTGCCTGTGGGTACCGTTGGCAGTGTGAATGGAGTATCTGGAGGGTATGTTGGAACCTTCACTCCAGTCTTTCACCCGTCTGGAGGTACCTATGTCCAAGCCACCCTTCGGTCTCCTGCTCCTCAGCAGCAATTGTATGTGGCTACCAGCTTGCACCAAACATCAGCACCAGTCATGTTGACACAATCCTCACAGTCTGGACAGGTAATAACTGTAGTATCACATTTCATTGGAAAAAGTAGCTCTCTCAAGATTTTTATAAAAAAAAAAATAAGAAATTAATATGTAATGTTTTGTGCTGTTTTAGAATGCATTGCTGGAGATGACTGGTACTGCTACAGCACCATCTCTCTTGCAAACCATGTTCCCTGTTCCCACATTAGATGGAAACCTTGTGGTGGGGCCTGGTGCTCATGGAGGCATGGTGTTGGTTCAACCTGCTGTTCCTACACAGCCACATCTCCGTGCTCAAGACTCGGAGGCAGGTCAAACGGGTGGAGAGCAATCTATCAATACTGTGGCTGCTGATAATGTAAGTTGCGCTTCCGTGCAAGTGTGTGGCGCTACTGCTGGGGCTGAAAATGTGGCGTTAGCTTCTGCTCAACCCTCAAGCATGTTATCGTCGGCGTGTGGACCGCCATGTGTGCAGATGGTTCAAACTGTGGGCCCTCAACCACAGTTTTTCCTGGTGCAGCAAAATTCTGCTTACCTTGTGAGCGATGTGGGCAAGGTGCCAAAAGTAGCCCAATATCAGTCGCCTTCACTCACTCCCATCCAGACACCAGTCCCGCCATCAACTCCTGTGCCAGCTTCAAACACCATAACGCCTGTGTTTCCCGACTCAACTCATCTCTCAGGCCAGTTCCAAGTGAACCAGGGTAGCCCTTATTTGACCCCTGCTAATTGTCCACAATCAGCTGAAGCACAGGGACAGCAACTTTCCTCAGCTTTGAAGTATCATTATGACTCGCCGTCTCTCCATCAGCATCCAACATCAATCCCTCCAGTCCACATTTACACTCCGTCTCCTGAATCAGTTGACCTGCAGTCAGTAAATAGAGAAGTCAATATATCTCGAGGGCTAGACGTTGTTTGTGATACTGAACCAAACCGATGTCTCAGTATCAGAGAAGACTTAAAGCAAGCTCCAGTTGAAAATGGCAGCGTGTCAGAGATTAAGTTGTCCAACACTGGTACATCAACGCCATATGGAGTGGGCTCTGAGGCAAGCTCTAGAAGAGCGTCTGTGGACCAGGATCCTATTGTGCTTAAATGTTCTGCTTCCCCTCAGGTATAACTTAATATTTTTTAAATATATTTGTTGCTGCACACACTCACTGAATGGAAACTTGCATATTTGTGAGAATTAACCAATTAAGTCTTATCTCCAATTATTAAAAGCTCCATAAATTCACTAAATTACCCTTTTAAAATATTCTTAACATGGGGGGAAAATTAACCAAATCTCTCCTTTTCACCATTCAACATTAAGATGAAACTTGTCAGAGTTAATATCTCTGCTATTGGGGTGCATGGCTTTGCAAGCTTCCATTGGCTGTTTTTGTTATATGTGACTGTATGAATGAGTTTTATGTTGACCATACACTTTGTGCTTATTAATTAATTGTTCAGACTGTTAAATACTGGTTAGTTAAGATTTTATACATTTGCAGTTGGTAGAATCCTCTGAAGTTGGTGACCATCCTACTCATTCTTCTCAAACAACAGTTGATTCTGGTGTCCTTTCACGAGCTGACAGGTAAGTCTCCTTTCATTATTCTTTTCAAATGTGTCTTATTTAAGTTCGAATGTATCATGACATGTTTTAAAATCCATCTAATGATTAATTGTTGTTTTTCTCTAGCACTGCAAGTGATCCAGCAGAGGCGTTGTCATCCAGTATTATTGCTGCTGCTGGTGGTCTTGGTCTTGTACCTGAAACAGCAACTGAGAGGAGGAACCGTCGCACTAACCAACGAAAGCGAAACAAGGCTGCTAATGATCGAGGAAATAGATTGACTGTCCTTAGTATTAATCACGATGGCACAAACTCCAGCAGTGAAGATTCTGAAAAATCATCTGGAAGCACTAGTCCTTCTGGAAGCAGGGGACCAACTGTGGAGTGTCAGTTAGAAACAACTAGAAATAAGACAGTTACATTCAAGTTTAACTGTGCTGATTATGTCCCAGGAGATGTTGCAAAAAATCTGGTGTGTCAAAATATCCATACCTAACATTAATATTCTTTCCAATTGTAAATGTTAATTTTCCTTGCTTATATTTGTCTTACTCCAAATTCCTAGGTTGCTGAAAACCTCCTTCCAGAAAGCCAAGCAGAGCTATTTACTGAAATGATCCAAGAGATTGTCAGACAAGTAAAGGCTGATCCAAGCAAATTGCCAGTTGTGTCCCAATGCTTCCCATCTGATACCTCTGGTAGTCCAGTTGCTCACAGACCCAGAGAAAGAGAACGTGATAATGACTCTGTCCTGGATGTTGGCCGAGTAAGTAAAAAGCAATGTCTTAGTACTCAATTCCCATGTACTACTAACTGTTGAGAAAATCTTAAAGGTGTAATAACACTCTTATTACAATGAGGATAACTATGAGGATACCTTGTGTTTATAGCTTGTTTGATGTGGGTCACAATTTGTTTGAATCCACATTTTAAAATGAAAGTTAGCAGAAGTATTTATTCAATAAATTCAAGCATTTGTTTTCATAGAAATTTTGATTGTATGAATACAAACAGTCCGTAGGTGATAGGTGACATTTTCTAGAGTCCTATAACCATGTCCTATAGCCTGTCAACCCATGTCTTCACTTTTCTGCTTCTGTGTGTTCCTTTTTCTGTGTCTCTAATTTGATTTCCTAACTAATTTGCAATTATTTGCTCCAAAAGTGCAGCAAAAAATATTATCTCCTGCTACTTTCTTCACTACCTTAACATCAACATTCAGTTTGAATGCTTGTGTTTTCATCTGCCCCGCGCCCCTCTCCCTTCTCCATCCTGCCCCCTTCCCCCTTTATAGGAGACACTCATGCATGTAATGACTGAATTGCATGGTTGTTCTCGCTCTGCATGAAATGCATACATTCTCATCAAAACATCATTTTAACTTAACCTATTCCAAATATTTTAATTATAACTTTCTAATCTGCTGCAATAATCAGAGGGTTACGTTTTGGGTTCCTGGTTGTCTTTTTCAATGTACGTGCTAAGCTGTCAAGTTGTCCTGTTTCTCAAGAAATGCAATCTCCTTGCTATGCATGTTCATGGTGTGGTCTCTTTGGTTCTGCTGTTAATTGTGCGGTTCTGTCAGGTGCGTCATGCTTCACTAACCCGTCAGCGGTCCTACAAATCCTCTATCAAACAGCATCGTCGACACCGATCTGTAAGTGTGCTTGCATTTCAGCATGGTGTTGCTGCAAAATTTTAGTGGATGTGGTTGAATTAAAGCTCAATTTTTTTGTTTTATAACAAGTGTAAAGCATTGTAAGCCCTCAATATTGTACAAATCATTTCTTTAAATTAGACTTTTGTGTTGCTTTTCTAGAACTTAAACTTGAACTGCTTGTGTACCCTCACTACTTTTGTTTGGTTATTTATGAAATAGTAAATAGTTGTCTGGATTCCTCTAGTTAATTTATCTATCTAAAATAAAAGCTATATTTCCCTTGTTTTCTGCTTTGTGTACTGGTTTATTAAAACGAATGCTATGCTGTTTGATACATTTTGCTATAGATAATATGTAGTTGGTTCGTGAAGTAGGTATTTTGTTGCATGCAAATTTTACTAGTTCATATTTTGTTTTTGTTTTTGTTTGTTGGTTTTTAAAAAAGGAAGAAAAACCTGTGTTACTGTTACTTTATGTGGAGCAGAGTATGCTCAGGCTATATTTTTCCCACATCTCTGCCCTCTTTCCGTCATTAAAAAAATAAAAAAATGACTAGGTTTTTACAGATATGTACAGTACTTGCGTTACCTTTAGATTTACATGGTTTTAATAATTTGCAGAGAGATGAAGGATTACCCTTGGTTGGCTCTGCACCAAATAGCCCTGTTCATCACCGTGTGTCACTCACAGAGCAACCATCCATGTCAGCCATATCAAATATTCCCCCCACTGCACATTTTCCTGTGATCAAACCAGCACCGGTAAGATCAAATGCTTCTTCCCTCATAGCTCACATCAATAGCTCATGTCAATTTCCTTAAAATTCTCTCTTTCTTCCATCAGGTCCGTAAAGTTTCCCGCTTTCTTGTCAGCACCGTTGCGGATTCAACTGTGTCCCCAACACCTATTGGGACAAGTCTAGTCAAGGTAATGCCACTGCAGTTCAGAAGTCTATATCTATTATAAATTGTTTATACTTATTAATGGTCCTTTTAATGATTTCTCTTTTAAAAAAATATAGGAATCCAGCTCGATTGTTGAGCCTAAATTGCCAACATCTGATGCTCATTTGAGTATGGAGTCCTCAGGAAAAGGTTCCATAGCGCGCATAGGCAGTGAGTCATGTCTAAGCCCTTCAATTGATAAACAAACTCGCAAAATTAGTCTACCTGAACCCATGAGCTCTGCTACCTCAGAAATGGATGAAGCTTCATCTCAACTAACCCGAAGTATCCCAGAAAAAAGCTATCTATATGGTGATGGGGATGGTGCTATGGGAGGCACACCAGTATCTGGTGGCACACCAATACCTGGAGATTCACCTGGTCAACATCTGACCCCAGAAAATACAGTATTGCCTGGTCAAGATGGATTACATATCAAGTTGACTCAGCAAAACTCTCTCGAAAAGCAACTGGGCTTTCAGACTGATGCTGCGTAAGATAATGCTTAACAGTTACTCTAATACAACTGCTAATGTTGCAGTCATGGCATTCATATTATTTTTGCTTATCTTATAGGGGACCACAAACCATAGAAGATCTACAACAAAAATTAGCACAGTTAACATCACAACCCATTGAGCTGGGCATTGGTGGCACTCCCCCGTCTCATCCTGCCACTCCTCACATGCCTTTATCTTATGATACCTATATGCAAACTCTCCAACAGAAACTGGCATCAATATCTATGACTGGAGGAACACATGTGGTATGTACAAAACCCCCCTTTTTATCACATTTTTTTCTGTGCAGTTGAAAAATTAATAAATCTTGTGCATATACACTAATAACGTAATATATGTAAATACATAATATAAATAACATAATAGCAAATTATCATATTTCTCTCTATTATAATTTCATTGATTAACATGACCAAGTCATATTTTTACTGACAAAGTGAGGTTTTTACTCTTCTGAACTGGATTAATACCAAAATTCTGGAAAGCATTTGAAATTTTGGATTGCCAAACCAAGTCATTTACTTTTGTATAGTCGCAACCAGAATCCTAACCGTCTCAGCTCCACCCGGCTCGGCCCGGCAGCAAGTTGATAAAGGGTTGACCTTGGCAGTGATTGTCCATCCTGTCCCTCATAAGGATGAGCTGAGATGGGGATTGGTGGGGTGGGGGAAGTGGCTTGAATCATGCAGCTTAACTGGAGCCCAGTTCAGTTCTCTCGCGGCTGTATGAGGGAAGCCTTCAGTATGACTGTTACTACCTTTTGAATGTGTTTGAGGAAATATTTCACTTTGGTGATTTCTTGTGCTGCTAAAAGAAATGGATGTTCTTTGGTATTCTGAATAAGAACATTGGCATTTACGGCTTTCAACAGGGACCTTTGTCACCTCACAGTACATTGCATGCATCTGGTATGCAAGGGACTTTATTACCAGCAGCTCTTGAAGTGCTTCAACCGTCAGGAGGGCTCATTGGTCTGGAAGGAGTCTCACTCCTGCCATCAGAACAGCAGTTAGCAGTTCAGCAGTTTGCTTCTCAACCACTTCAGTCTGTCCAGTCACCTCTTACAGCTGTTGTTCAACCTGTGACTGTCTTAGCCACAACTGGACAAAATTCACCTGCTGCTGCTACTCTCTTGCAACAGGTACTGTAATTATTCTTTTATTATCTGTTAATTTGTGGATATTACCCATGAAATATTTGATGTTGCTAAACATTTAAATTTGTTTAGGTAACTGTAACGCCAGTGGGTGAAGTTAGTGGAATGAGTAGTGGGGTGATGTCCCCAAATCAAACCTCTTCCCGGGATGAGATGCATCGTCCAAACAGACCCAGACCAGTTGATCTTGCTGATCTCGAACAAGTGAGCCGTTTTTTGTTTTTTTTGTGTTTCATCTCAAAAACATATTTTATTATCGAACGTTGTTCAGTGCTAACTACTCTGATTTGTTATCTTTAGGAACTTGCCAAGATCCACACTGGATATCGACGTGATTTACAAACACACTATTTAATTGGACAGTCACAGCAGGTACCTTCACACTTCATTAATTTATCTTTTTCTTTTATCACTAAGTAAAAGTGTGTGCTCTGTTCTTGTGGGTTTTTGTGCTCGGAAAGTGGGCTGTTTTCTATCTACTGAAAAAACTGTCTTGTGGAAAAGTCTTTAAATCTGCATGCGCTGGTATACATACCATGAATCTCTTTCCTATTGTGTAAAACAAAATATCCATTTTCATTGACACTTTGTGTGTTATTCAAACAAGACTAGTTATATTTGCCCAAATCTGTGTGACTTAACGCGTCCAGTACCAAGCCATTTTTAAACTAGGTTATTTGATAACAAAGTGGCGGTGTGGCACTGAACGTATTAAACACAAAAGCTATGCGCTCAGACCTCAGTCAAATAGCAAGATTTGCAGCTGGACCCATATTTTGGTAGCTTTCTTTACAACAGCCATCCGTCCAAACCATTATTGTTTAGAACCTTTGGGCCAAAAGGAAAGCTTTCTTCAATGCCAAAAATTGTGCAGTCATAATCAGTTATTTGTCCTATCTGGGTGAGCAGTTGAGAGACAAAGGCGCCCAAAATTGGTCATGTGGGGCTTGACTCGCGGGTTGGGGCTAATGAGTGATCGTTGCCCTTTGCCTTGAAAAGTGCTACTTTAGCACTTTATAGGTGCTAATGCCATACAAAACTGTTACATGCACCGTTGCAGTTGAAAGCTGCCTCTCAAGAACTAAATTTATGAACTTGCTTCTCGCTGACAACAAGAAAAGAGGCAAAGCTAACCCGTTTAACTCAATGTAATATGGTGTAATAGTTTTGATAAACATGGTTTGGGAAAATAGCTACCTTGACACGCTCTACCCAAATCTAGGCATTTAACATTACTGCTGATTTCACAAACTTTTGAGGCTGTTGGACAAATAGTCAATTTACATTGGACTCTAATATTCTGAGCCGCCAGCTGGGGGCCATCATTATATTTATATCAATATATTTATCTATTCATGATTTGTGCACACTAATATTGGGGCTCTGCCCCAATTCTAGGCCAATAGTCACATTGTTAAGAGAAGTAAGAGTATGTGATACATGGAATTAATCTAACTGTTTGTTACTACTGTTTAAGTTAAAACATCTTCTGGAGCTGCTGGTTGGTGCAAGCTATAGAAATCTCTCTCATAATTTTTAACTTTATCCCATGAATGAAATTGGTCTGAAGTTATCTTACATATATATCCATTTGTTGGGTTGTTTTTGCATGAAGTGACTTGGCTTTAAGTTGATGATTAGTTTTGCTGTGGGACTTGTGCTCAAGTGTGTGCTTGTCCACTTTCAATTCTTTTTTGAGAGAGTCAAAGAAACAAATTAACTTCAATCTCAATTTGAGCTGAACTGAAAAGAGCAATTATTGAGCAGTGGTAGCAACAGTTAGTGTGTGGAGTTTAGCATGTTGGTGTTTGGAGAGTTGCGAGCATGAGTGTTGGTGCAGGTTCTGCCACCGCCGGTGTTAACTACACTGCACCCATTATCCATGGGGGCCATACCTTACACGCTGCACCCACTGCATGCAACCACAGGCCAACCTCCTGGGCCAAAGGACCCCTCACTTGCACAAGTAGAAGCTGGTGCACAGGCAGTAAGTACAAGGAAACAGAAGAGATACTGGGAGGTTTAACATATTTTTTTTTCAGCATGTTTTATTTTGTAATATTTACGGCCCCTATATGTTCTGTCTATTTGGGAAAAGTTGAAAACATACTTTTCTTTTCTTTTTTCCTATTTTTACGTAGGGTGTATCATGTTACCCATGTAAAAATCTAATGCTGAAGAAACTAAATAAATTTTTGCCTATTATTGACTGACCTTAATTGTTCTGTAATTTACAGGAGACTCAAGATGACAATGGCCAAGAAACTGAAAGTTTTCAAGATAGCAATGCTGGAAATCATCCAGAAAGGCGACCTTCTAGATTTCAAGTCAGTATTGTGCCAGAAGACAAACCTGCTGAAAAGGTAACATGATTCAATTTTAAAAATAAATTGATGGAAAGAGATTGGGTTTGAATTTTGTTATTTGTATCTAAATAGGAGAGAGTTAAAAGTGTGCCAAGCAGCATGGGTGCAAGCCCTATTGCTCCAGCCACAGCTACTGCTGTCCGTAAGGGCCGGTTCAGTGTTGTAACTCATCCTGATGCCAGCCTTATTGGTGTAAGAGACACGCATGCTCCTGCCAGCTCACCCATAGATGCAACACCACCTTCACCTCTTGATGGTATGTGAAACAGATTCAAATAATTTAGTTTGGATGTGAAGGATTCTGAATTATTTATTTACTGTATAATCTTGCATTTGTGCCTTTATTTTAGTGTCAACTGCTGCAGATCCCGCTTTATTCCATGTCTTGCACATGACAAATCAGCAGTATCCCGAGCAGGTATGCATCTTAACTTAATCCTAGAAAATCTGAACATAAAAACTCACCTGCTATGGCCTAGCCATAATAGGTGTGGCAAGTGTTAGCAACTCAATCTATACATTTAAAACAGAAAATGGACAAAAAATTAAAATTTTAAAACAATTAAAAAAGAAACACTAATAGGAGGTTTCATTGTTATAAATTTCTGTGTACAGGTCTGTCATTGTTTTGTGTGGGCTAGTACATTCAATAGTAGAAAATGTCAGAAGATGAACTTTTATATCTCCTTTGGGACCTCAAAAATCACACCTCATTTTTAAATTGGGAAACATTTTAAACCAGTTAACTTAAATTTACACTTTAAAAAAGAAAAAACCTTAAAATTACACATTTTGAATATGCAATTTACTATACTATATATTTTGCTCTCGCTGATAATTCCAATTGAGTCCACACTTCAAAAACCACTGAACTACGTACTATCTATAACTTGCTCATTTTTGAAAAGTTTGTTTGCATTGGTATTGTGGTGGTGTGGCAGTAAATCTTTTAGTGTCTGGTTGTATATTGGGTGCTGACAGTTCTTGCTCTTTTATTTTTTGTGTAAAATTTTGCCTACATGCATGTTTAACCTACATTGCTACACCTATCAGTCATCTTTTTTTTTTTCTGAAAGTAGATTATTAATTCTTCTAGCTGCAAGTTTTAAGAAGTGTGATTACTTTTGATTGAAGTACCTGTAGTTATTTAGTTAGTTGTGCACATCTGTGGGTAACTCTTGTGTTTCTGTTGTATTATTGTTTTCAGAACAATTTGTTTTCTTTTCTTGACTTTGTGTGCTACCTTGCTTTTTCATGATTCCTGCCTGTTGCCCTGCTATTGCAATCATCTCAGCAATGGACCACTCATCAGATCAGCCTGATTCCAAAGGCTCAGTCTCAGCAGGCAGTCCAGCATACACCACCTGTTTATTTGGTTGCCCCTCATGAAAGTGCTGTGCCACAACAGCTCATCACTGGATCTCTACTCATCCCATACTCTATGTCACAAACTACACCCCAGAGTGTTCCCCAGCTTAATCCTCCAAGTGTTTCCCGAGGCATCCCTCATGGTGCCACAACAAGTGTGCATCATAAATTACCACAAAACATAGTCCCAGTGAAGAGGCCACGTGCTCACACCATGGAAAGCTACCGATCTGGTATATTACGTTCTCACAGAAGAGAAGATGGGGCTACGAGTCCTACCAGTCCCACTAGCCCAACATGGTATGGTTCATACTCTCCTGAACTGTATTCATCATCTCCGGAGTCGGCCCGTGGTATTCAAGAACCTTACCACTTTAATTTACATAATATCACTAAATTCCCATCTGCTTCAGACCTTGTTGGAAACAAGGAAGGGAAAAGATCAAGTAAAATACCTATACCTGTGAAAGCTGATCGCCTGGGCAAATATCTACCTATGAACTCTCCTCCAAGAAAAACTAGCATGCCTGGAATTAGCAGCACAGGTTCATCACATAAGTTTTCCACTAAATGTCCTTGTCCAACGGGTAGTCTGTCGGAATTTCATAGTAGATCTGTCAGTCCTCCAGCTCCTCACCGATGGACAAGCCATGGTGATCTTTCCCTTTCTAAGGACATTAATTTGAGACTTCACTACCCTTCTTCTGAGAGACTTCAATTGTCTTGTTCTCGTATTACCCATCATGAGGGTACAAAAGAAGCTGTCAATGAAAGAGTTCGTAGACGGAGTATGGAGAACAAATACACTTACTCCGATCAACATCTTGCTCATCATCACCCTCATAAGCATCAATCTTCTGGAAGTGAGCCATGGGATATTCTGAAAGCAAGAATGAAGCAAGCTCGAAGTCAAGAGTTTTTAAGTGCACGAGTTTCACCAGATCAGGAAGTGCCTTTCTTCAGTACATATCGTTCCCGCACACCTGCTCCTGTACCTGAACCTGTTGCTATTCCAGAGGAATATGAGCCAGTGTATCATACTGTACATGCTGGCATGCGACCGCCTGTTCACTTGGCAAATTGGTCGCAGGAGGAAGGACAGAGACCCTGTTTACTGCATTCACATACTTCACATGCAAATCCATGCTCTCGAGCACCCATGCCGCGTTTCAGTTCGAGGAGTCATCCTGCACCTTCATTGGATTCGTCACTGGACACAAGTACTATGGGAAGTGATGACCTGAACCGTTTTTCTCATCGTGCACTGCTCGGCTATTGGGTAAGGAGTCTAGGTGGTGGTCTAAAGGGCGCATGGTGGTGTTGGCGTTCTGTCCAGCTCTGTATGCTATGCTTTGCATCAACATAATAGTATTCCAATCAATCTACATTTATTTCTTTCAACACATATATGTTATGTTTTAGTTACCTATTCCTGAAGAAAAGTTAGCATGTACGCATCTCCGTTGACTTTCTGCCTGGATCTGTATGTTTTTTGTTTTATTTTCCTTTTTCCCTTTTCTTTGAGTCTAACTCAGTGCTTGGTTAGTACAAATTCTGTTTTCTACATTCACACAGTTTTATCTAATCTAATTGTTCATTTATCATCTCTGTGAAGACAACTTAAATCTTATGAGAGAGGAAGGTATTTTACTCATTCTAATGTTAATTATAGTACTTTACTACATTACAGTACTTTTAATTTACAACTTGAATGATGAAGAGTTAAGCTGGAAGATGAGTTTGAAGATTATTTCGAAGAGGAGAGAGATCAATATTACAGCAAAGTGTCTGAAGATATCACCAGAGGAAGAAATTAATGGGCTTTCTTTTTAAAAATTACCTAAATTTCTGTTGAAACTTAACATAAATATCTAACAGGATATCATACCAAACATCTGATGTTAAATCCCATATTGTTTGTGCATGTTTCCTTCTTTGTTGTTTCTGCAATGGTGATTGTGTGCATGGTACATGTTATGTCTTTGTTGTACTTGGATTTTAATCTCTGCATGTGTGTGAGCTAGACAATAGAATGGCCTTAGAAGTCTTGCATCTTCAACATTGCTGACATACAGTAATTGTGGAGTCATTTTAGCTAATGTTTACGAACCTTTGAAACAAATTTTGAAAAACTCAACTTCATTATTGAATCTAACTAATCATGAAAGACATCAAATCAAGGTGGCACATTAACCAAATTGAAAAAGTATCACTTCATCATCTATATTTTCTTTCAAAATCTCCACAATACATTGAAATGAAGATAAAAAAAAACTTACCCATTCTTTCTCTTTTGCTTTCAGCAGGATATTACTGATGACGCTCCTTTGGAAGATAATGAAGAGTACAGAAACTTACTTAGAAGGTAACCTATTAGCGAATTTCTTTAAGAAGTTTTCTAATTTTTGGAGGTAGTACTCTCATTGTTGTTTAATTAATACGCGTTGATATCTGTTTGATTACAATTTAGACAGCAAATTGAGCTTGATGCTATGCAGAGACGGCACCGAGAAGAGGTGGAGAAATTACGAGCACAGATTTCAGCACGGCATGGCAAAGGCCAGGTAAATTTTTAGTAGCAAAAGAAGCAACAGTTTCGTATTTTACTTTCCTTCAACTTACTTTCTTATTTGCGATCTAGTCTAAACCTCAACTAATATTTTCATATCAAGGAATAGTTATTGAACTAATTTTGTGTAAATTGAATTTGGATTGATGTCTGCTTGAGGGTAGTAGTGGCGTTATGCCCAATTGAAATAATTAGCATGTGGCATAGTGGTCAGTCATTGTCAGTAGTAAGACCTTTTTGTTACTCCACTGGGAAAAAATAACAAATGAAGAGGAAGTGTGGCATCTTTAAAAAGACTTAAAAGTTCCCCAAGGCTATATTTGCTGTGGAGCGCATTCCTTGTCAATGTCTGTTTGAGCGTGGGCTGGCAGCAATTCAAGAACTTACCTGGTAATAGGGCTTACTGTATCCCGTTATTAGTAAAACATGCATTGTTTAGGTGCGTGTTGACAGCCTGACTCTGCTTTGCCCGCATCGCTCTGCGTGTCCTTCTCCCATAAGAGTGCAGGCAAACTCATGCAAGTCTTACAAGTCTTGCTGATAATTAACACACTCTTCACTTTTAGCTGGCATTTTTAGTTGCATCAATGTAGATTATAATAATTCAAAGAAGTATGTTCTCAAAGTGTGTTTGGCTTCACTCCAATTTCATACCCACAAGTACAAAAAAAATATGTACTGTAATTAATTCATGCCCACACTGTCCATTATTCTACCTTTAAAATGCATTGGAAGAAGGAAGTTTGCATGATTCCAGGATTCTAGATGCTGCATTTAGATCCCATATGTCTACTTCTGGTTATGGTACTTAGAGTTGGTTTAGTATACTATGTCATGTTGTTATTTCATGTTTTTTGACCATTTTGTGTTGTGCGTGTATCAAGTTAATTTATCTAGTTTCCTTTTCCTTAGAATTAATGCAGCATTTGGTCAGCAAACACAATTATTATTTGTAAAGACCATCTCAATTAGCCAGTGAAATTTTTCCGTACTGAATTTTTATAGATTTTCATGTTTTAGAAAATAATGTAGCGTGTTTTTGTGTATTCTGTATTGCATCTATTGCATTGGAAGACACAAGTTTAGTCAGCTTCATATAGCGCTCTGATTGAAATGAGGTTCAACTTTGCCTATTACAGTGATTATGTAATATTTATTTATGCAGGTTGGCTTGGGAAACATAATTGGAGGCCCACAGCAGGTCACTGCAGTACAACGACTAGTTTCCCTTTCCCCTCACGAGGCTGCAGCTATGCTTGCGAGACCTGTGTTTTACCAAGCACTTTCTCCAATTCATTGCCAAGGTAATTATTTTCTCAGAACATTTTTTCTAATTTGAATGTTTCTTTTTTTATCTTCTCTCCTCTAATCTAACATCCCTTCAACCATCGGTTGTAAAACCTACTAAGGGCATTAAATTTACTCTCCAAGTAAATGTATGTATGTGTTACGGTTCAGGCAAGGTTCGGTTCCCGGGCCAACCCACGAAGTTGGGCCGGACCGAAGGCAGGCCAATATAGCATAGATCAGATCTGCTTGGCCCAACTATGGTGGGCCTGGCTGGCTTTGACTGATCTAATCTCAGGCACCGGGCCTGTCTCGTATTGTATTAAACTCCCGCATTTGGTTTCTCGGTTCTCCAGCATTCTCTATTCTCCAGCATTCTCTTTTCTTTTTCTCAAACATTTCAGTAATTGTACACAATAGTGTATATACCTTACTTAGACTTTGTTCTATCTGAGTAGAATACATGGGCTGTCGTATGCAGGTCTCCAAAATACTTGCATTTTCAATTGGGTTGTTGGGAGTCATGTACTACATAGTTTCATCCTGTCATTTATACTTATCGTATCTGTTTAATGGTCTTGTATGTATCAAATGCATGTCTAATGGTGATGGTATGGTAAATGGCCTGTGCAGTCGGTCAGGCTGGCTCGCTCGCTGGTGTGGCGGGGGTCGGGGCCGGGGCCGGGGGCGCGGGCGGTGGCAGCATGGAGGACTGCCTTGTGTACAGTACTGCCCCCCAGTCCCCAGTTGGATCCCAAACTGGGTCACAGTACGAGACGCTCGGGGCCTCCCCACCCACCTCGCCTGCTAAGGGTTGCCAGGTAATTTAGTGCTACTCCTTCTCTGCTTTACCCACTAACAAACTTCATCTATGGGACCTTTTCTGCATGTCTCAAATATTTAAAATGTATTGCTATTTCCTCTCATCACTCATTATTTCTGTATTTTTGAAAGATTCCCAATGGACTTCAAGAAGCCACGACAGCAGTCGCAGCAGCACCACAAGCAGGAGCAGCAGCAGGAGCAGCAGCCAAGACAGAGGGGAGTGTGCTAGCTCTACAGTCAGGTGAAGGGACAGGATCAGGTTCAGGCATCAATCTTGGTGCTAGTCCATTAACAGGACTGCGTGCATTACACATTGCAGCACCTACAGGTTATTATTTCCAACCCACTTCTGTTGCTCCACTCCTTCAATCAGGAATGCGATTTGTGTATGGACCACCTGCTAGGCAGCAAGTTAACTCCTCTAACACTGTGTCAAATTCAAGTTCAATTGATCTTGACTCACCACCCTCTTCCCCTTCAAGCAACCCCAAAAGAACTTAGTATTTTATTTCAGATGAAGATATGTAAGTAGGTAGTAATATTTAATGTTTGAGTGTTAGCTTACAATAAAACATTATATAATGTAAACAGTATAAAGTTGCAATCAACTTTCACATTTAATTGGTCCCAAATTTTGTTTCTTTAAGTTTATTTTTAAGTTTGTGAGTAAAGATGTGTTAAGAGTGAACAGTTAAGTTCTTTCCTTGTTAACATGTTTTAAAGTTTCAATTTTATGTATTAGGTGCCAAAATAGTTTTGGTTTTCCTTCCCTCTTCCACATGAGCTTGCTGTGTGATGAATATGATGTTAGGGGGAAGCATCCACAAGTCAAATCTTGAAGCATCACATTATAAAAGTATGTGTACCATACTAAAGGCTCAATGGAGATTGTGATCACGAGATCATGCTTTGAATATCAGTATAGGAAAAACAAGGTATGTGATAAGCTTTTTTTTTTTAGAAAAACAAAAACAAAAAAGAAAATAAAAAACTAATAGATTTTCAATGTCAGAGCTATCTGTACAGTATCTAATATTTCTAAATTATGGTATTTATTTTATGAACATTTGTTTGTTAAGTTCAATGGACAGAGTTATATTTATTATCAGAGATTTTCTTTATTTTAATTGACATTGCTTAAGAATGTATTGTCTTCTCATGTGAGAAGTAAGTCTTTTTTAAAATGCCAAGACACAACCCACGCTTGATAAGTCTCATGGCATGCATCCCGTGTTCTTATCTCTAATGTGTAATCATCTACCCTTTTTGTTTTGTCCTGTTAAACTGTAGTGATACTAACAGATTAAAAACCTGACTTATTTAGTCTCATCCTGGACAGAAATCTCACATTATGTACATTCAATAGAGAGCTTCTGGCATTGGTTAGGCACAATCTCGCCACTATGAGGTCAAATGAGAAATCATTTTATGAGCCTCTGGCAATTGGGACTATGGTGCTTTACTAGTTTCACAATTTTATTTAATGAATTTGTACAGAATTTAGTGATATGTTACAGACGATATGAATGTGGCCTAGACTGTAAGGAACTTATTTCTTGATTGGTAAAAGACTGAACTAAAATGCAGCCTATCTTGTGGGAGACTGACCATTGTTTGCACAGAAATGGAGTTAGTCATGGTGTTCTATATTTGTGTTTCAATTGATTCTGTGTTCTAGTACCAATGGCCAATTTGATTAGTTTCCAAGTCAATGCTTTATTTGTCTATGTTTTAGTGGTATGATAATGTGCATCCCAAAAGGTTAATTACGTAGTTGTATTGTAGGCTGCTTTCACAATAGCTTATGATTCTTTAACTCATGGGCGTAATGTACATTTATCTCATTGTCTAATCAGAGTAAGTGCACTGCTCTCATGTTCAAAGGCAAGGAAAAGTTTTTATCTGTAATTTATTTTCTTACGTATCTCTTAGTTGCTGCAATAACCAAATTTGTGAAGGACAACCATTCCAAAAGCTTTCCTCAGTTGAAAGGTAAATATTCGAACGAAGCTAATAAAGCTAAATATGTGATGTAATGTTAAACTCATATTCTTGAGACATGTCGGTTTCATTGATGTATGGTAGGTACATAAGTTGCAGGTACTACCTGATCATCTCCTCGCTATCTTGGTAAACAACAGAATACAATATGTGCTCTTTTAACAATTTATGGCATGCCTCATTACTGTGATAAAATAAGTATAGATTGGTAACATCAGATAGTAAAGCTGATATAAGTTGAGGACTGTGATCTTATTGTTCTTTCTATCTTTGCTAAGCATGGATGATAGTACAGCTGTGAAGGGTATGTGTATTTGGAAAAAACCTTAGCTTAAAATTTGGTGATTTGCAATGTCAGAGTTGACTTATTGCAACAGAGAAGTGTGGTATCAAAATCTTTGATGATAAGGAAGTCATGAAATCGTACCCCTTACCCTAAGAACAATGGTGTGCCTGTTTTTCACAATTCTGTTGCTCTGGAAGTTTTAAATGACCTGGATATACTACCAAATTTTAGCTCTCCTACAGTTTTATGCAATGAAGATTGTTTTAAACCAGATTATTTTAAATGTATGACCAAAACAAAACATCTTTTGTGATGAAACACATATTTCAATGGTATCTTTTACTGAGTCTAATTGTGAAATGCTGGGCACTGCATTTTTTAATGCATTTCCCAGAAATACTCTGTATTAAGTGATGCATTTGAATCTTTTCACAATTTGGTACAGTTTTACCTTATTTATTAATGTTGAGGTGATATCTGTGAAAACAGAACAAAGATTGTTGCTGGCTGCACCATATCACCTATATTTTGTTTTATGTGCCTTTTTAAGTTTTTTGTCTATCTCTTTTCACCTTCCATATAACAGAAGGGCATCTTTTTACCCTTGCGAGCTACCGCTCTGTCGCACTTCTTGTGATTTGTTTAGAGTATACGAAACGGTTCTTTAACATAGCTTAGTGTATCTTTATTGGCTATTCTTCCCTACTTGTTAAAAAGAGAAATAGGTGTAACTTCATCTGTGGTGCTTTGTACATGCCCTTTTATTTGAAAGCAGATCCAAGCTGTTAAGAACAATTATCAAGCTTGTCCTGGTTTGTAAATATTTTATCATAATTATCATAGCTAGTAATGATCATCTAGCTCTTTGTACAAAAGACCAAATATATTAAGTGATTATTGGAATAACTTCAAAACCATCAGCAGATAGCAATTTCACTTTCTAGTCTTATTTTTAATCTTTGGGAGTGAGAGAGAGAGAGAGAGGAAGTAGGCATTTTGGGATACACACTATATACTTTATGTAGAGATAATTTTATGTTATATCAGTTGGTTTGAAGTGATAGGTGTCATCTTTTATTGTTTTATTGTCATGTGCTTGTGGCTGATGAGAAGTCAAATGTGGTGCTGTGGAAGATGGTTATTGTATTAAAGATGATATCATTTGGAAGTGATGGATACTATTTTTTAATTTTTAATATGCCTGACCTTTCCTGTCACTCAACATATGAGTCATAAACCAAGATAATAGAACACATTATTATTTTTAGCCTCTTTTCTTTCCCTTTTACACGAATAACTTACAATCAAAGTGATGTTTATTAAATCACCACTTCTGCACTGTAATCATAAATATATCCAAGACTTAGCCAAGACCACGTGCTGTCGTGGGTCAAGTCTCCGGACACTGCACGACTTCCGGTTGGACCTACTTCCGGCGTCACCATCACGCCACGCGGTGGGCACGGCACGTGCAGCAAAGTGTCAGCAGCATTGCAACGGTTGAAACTAGTACATTTAGAGCAATGAAGCGCCTATTCAAAGTGGGTGAAGATGTGTTTGCAACCGTGGGCAGTTTTGATCCTTTCCCAGCTGTTGTAAGTTATACCGTCATTACACACCGGAATGAGTGAATAAATGTCTTCGCGCACACTTCGTGGGGCAAGGATGAGACACCACACGCCGTCGCCACGCCTTCAATGTAGATGGGAGATGGTGTTCAATTTTTTCTCAACTGAGAGAATGCTGCTGTATTCCATATACTTTCTTCTGAAAGATAACAACTAAACCAATTGTTTAGGATACTTTGACCTTGAAAAACTTGGAATGTTACAATGCAACTTTTTTCAAGTCTTCCTTTTCACGGAGAACGAAGGTTAAGGGAATGCGCATGCGCCATGCGCCATCGTGGGGCGACAGTGGTTATGGCGCTAAAATTTGAATTTCTTACATAACGGGTATTAGTTGTCTGTTTTCTTTGCGAAGTACTCTCATTCGAACATCTATACCTGTACTGCACTTTAAATAATTTTTATTTTCGATTAACAAAGTATCGAAGAATGCGAGAAAGGAGCGGGTCATTTGCCATGCCGCAGGTCTTCCCTGCTCCCATCACACAATTACTTTAATGAATACCTTTGGGACGTTATTTCCCCGCAGGTGGAGAGTGTGCGGCTGAATGATGCAGAGTGCTCAGTATTTTACTACGTCCGGCTTTTGGGAGCTTCAGATAGGCAAGTTACAATTCTACGTTATTTTTTAAAACTATCAAGCCCCTTTTTTTTGTTTACTTATTCCTTATCTATGTTTGCTTTTCAGAGTTATCCCTCTAAATGAAGAGAACTTGCAACCAATGGAAGAAAATAAACACAAATTCAAATGGAAATATAGTGACAGGGACCTTAAGAAAGAATCAAAAGTATGCACAGAATGGACATACATTTTTGTTCCCTAGAGAGTCTCTGCAATTGTCTTCGAACTTTTTCAGATCATTTTGTTTTTATTTGCTCATACAGATAAGAGTTGATGCTATCTTGGGAGCTCAAGATGAAATTCCAGATGTGTTAATGAATTTTGTAACTGTTGACAGTGATTTTGAAGAAGTGTCAGATGAAACAATTAAAAAACTAGGCCTATTCAGTATTATGCTTACTCCCACTATGTAAGTGCACCTCTTCCATTTATGCCATTGACTTCAGTATCATTAGTTTGAAATAATTTGCTATGTGATTATTCTTTTTTATTTTGTAGGATTAATTGTCTAGATGAAAAGATGACTCCCAGGTTTGGCGAGGAAGACGAAAAGTCTGACTTGGTATGCTTTTCTGTTTTTCAATTTATACAATGGATAGATAAGATTTTCTGTGGTTAATTTATCAAAACTGTGTGCTTTTTAGGAGGATGACTTTGTGGACGTGGAAGATTCTGATGGAACAGATGAGACATACAATGCAAGAAAAAGGAAACTTAAATCAACCTTGCACTCATCATGGCACAAAAAATATAAAAATTCAAGAGGTGCAAAGTCTTTTAAAAGGCACAGTCTCTTAAAAAGCAATCAAGTTAATAAGAAGACTGGTGAAAAAATCCCTCCTAAGACAAAAAGTTCCTCCCTGCATGCTGGTTTAACCATAGATCTGACTGAAAATGGTGATGAACAAGAATATAAAGATAAAGACCGACACTTTAGTCATAAGTGGGGTGGTAGATTAGCTAGTGGTTCATTTCCATGCAAGCTTTGTTTCCGAAAATTTAGATCCAAAGGTGAGGCTCAGAGTCACATGGCACTCCATAAACCAAATCGAGGCAATAAAAGAGCCATGCAGCCACTGCCTGAAGATGATTTCCATGAAAGTGAAGATTCCTCCTCAATGAAGTTTGGTGAAGATGAGTGGTCAGCCAAACATTGTTCAATGGAGCGACAGAGGCGTGCTGAAATGGCAAGTTTCTTTCAAGAGTTACAAGATGCAGCAGACGTTCCTCGAGGGTCTTCTAAACTAACCACATTATCAACTGCAAAAAGTAGAGTGGACGAGCTTGAGATGCAATCTGAGGAACAAGACAGAGAAATAGCTTTTCTGCAAGAAAAGAATGCGAGACTAAAAGCAAGATATTTAGAACTCAATCCGGACAAGAAATAAGATAGATATGTATGTGTTTAAGTGTAAAGTAATTTATATTTGTTAATAAAACCACCAAATCTGGCAAGATATCATTAATATTTCATTTTGTCACTTATGAAATAAAATAGTTCAGGTAACTGAACCAATCACAAGATACGTCACACCAATTCTAATAAATGTTTATTAATGAAGTAGATAATAAATATTAGATATTACATACTTCATTCCATAAAACTGGTTCTACTTCTTTTCCAACCCCAAAACGGAAATACTGTACATAAAATGCAAAAAACATAGGTCTTTGATAAATAAATAAATTAGGAAACATTTCACCACCATAGCAATTAATAAAACAATGTATTGGACATCTTTGGAAAAGAAAAAGTTAGTCGGTGAGTACAGTAAATAAGAAATAAAAGACAAGTAACACAGATATTCAAAGAAATTATATCTATTGTAAGTGAACCCTGAGAATATTTTGGCATATAAGTGCAAAATCATAATAAAAGTACAAAAGTTAAATAACGGTGCTTGTCCCATATGATCACAAAAGTCACATTGTTACAATTAAATAAATGGTGCCAATTGAGCAAACATAGGGAGGATTTGATGAATGTTGGCATCCAGGATTCTAAGGGTACTATTGAACAAGAAAAATGGCTTAAGGCTAGCATCTTAAGACATCAGATCAACAGGGTAATAATAAAACTTTTCACGCACACACTTTTCTTTGGAACGCCAATGCAATCACTTGTGCTTTTAACTAGTATTGGAAATAATGTTTAAGTAGATGTAAATATCATCACCATCTTAAAGGTATCTGTCAAAATTGAGCTTGAAATTTGATTAAAAACCATTGAGGAACTCTGCTTTCTTCTTTAAAATGAAGTATAAACAAATTTTGATTTGCATTAACTGTTTGACTGAAAAGGGGTCAATCTTATTTATTTTGCTTTAAATCACATTGTAGATAATTGCTTCATAGCAGCAGCTAGTCGCTCAATTTCTCCTTTACTTTGAGCCAACTTTTCAGAGTTAGCCGCACGAACCTCTGAAGGAACTTTAGTTTCATAGTCAGGAGCCACCATAGACTGTTCTAGTTTTTTAACTTGTTGAGAAAGTGAATCCTGTTTCTTTTGCAGCTTCTCTTCTTCCTTGGCTGGATCAATCAGTCCCTGGAAAAAATAATTTCCGAGTTAAATTCCACTTTGATACAATATTTTTTGTATACATTGAAAGTTTAACTGAAATTCCAACTTTTGGGCACAAACCTTCAATAATAAATGTACTTCACATTTATCAGAGGCTGTGAAGATGGCACATCCCTGGGGTGGACTAGCCGACATTGCTACAGAACTGCAGTTACTCAGGGTACCAATTACTTCACAATACTGACTTAATGATTTTTCAAGATCAGCATCAGAGCAGTGCAAAAATGCTACAGAACAAGATAAGATCACAAATAAATTTTACCCGTTTAAAGAACCCACACCACCCAGGAAAAACAAGAGAAAGAATCAATACCCACCATCAGTTTTTGTTTTATTGAGGAGAGAGTAGTCTGAACGAGCAGACCGGATTAGATGGACAATCTTTTGCACAAACTCAACTGATGCCTCAATTTCAGTATTTCTCCACGTATACTGAAAATTACACAAAGGGTTTCTTTCAATTTCACACACACACACACACAAATAATAATAATAACAATAATTAAGAAACAATAATAAAGAATCATATTTTAATGTACCTTTTCAACTTCTGGATACGGAGACACACATATGCTTGGTACTTCATCCGCACAACGTGGCAATCTCTGGAAGAGTTCTTCAGTAATGAATGGCATAAATGGTGAAAGAAGGCGAAGGCCAGTGTGGAGGGTGAAATGCAGGGTGTGCTGTGCAACTAGCTTTTTTTGTTCATTGTTGCTTTGAAAAACTGGTTTTAAGTACTCCTAAACACAAAACAAAAACATTAAAATTACATATCAATTGAGGATAGAGTGGTAATCTTTCATAAAAATTATTTAAAGCAAAAAAATAAGTTTACTGACCAGGTACACATCACACAGGTCATACAACCACAAATTGTAACAGGCAGAGGTAGCCATGGGGAAATCATATGTTTCAAATGCCTGGTTGCAGCTTTGAACGGCTGCAGAAACACGGCTCAACATCCATAAATCCATAGGTGATTCTTTTCCACATAGCTGTAGATAGAAAAAAATAAAGTCATCGCCCCGTTCTTTGAAATTAGAAAATCAAGCAATTTATATAATTAGAAAGAAGAGATGGGAAACTGGTGAGCACTGCAGCCCGATACCATATAGAGGTAAAACAATAAGATGATGTTGGGATCCAGTATGCACTGGTGTCATACCAAGGGGTTCACAACTTTGAATATTCATGGGTGAAACAAAGATTACTATGTAATACTTTAGTCGATATTTACTAACAATCAGGATTATTCATTTAGATTCATTAAATTCCCAAGTATTCAATCCAAATTATACTTTGTGTTCACGATTATTCAGTTATGTACACCAATATTATCAAATACTCAACATTTTAATATATTCATGGGCACAGAAATTACTGAGTTGTCAACCCGTTGTTTCCAACTACTTTCAGATGCCCCTTCTTCAAAATCTACTTGATTAGTAAGGAAACCTGAAGAGTTAAGCCGCAAGCATGGGAATAGACGACAAAACCATACCTAAGCAAATGATCTAAGAAGAGGAGGAGAACAACAGATCCTACATACAGAGGCTACAATATAAGGTAAGAAGCTAGTAAGAAGGCAGACTAGACAAATCCAAACCAAGCTCCGCATGCAATTCAATAGTTAGGCAGACCCACCTTACTGGAGTTTCTAGAGATAGCACCACAATCACCACCAGCACCACCACAAGGACCACCACCAATACCACCAAGAAATAAGAAACTTTGTCCCTTCCAGCATTTTCTTTCCTTGACACTATAACTGAGAATGTGAGTTCTCCATCGAGCAAGATGGACAAGTTCATTTTCAGCAAAGTGTTTACCATCAAGCATATGCAAAATAATATCATCATCTTCTGTTGGTGTATAACCACCAATATAACTACGCATTGAAAGATGATCATTAAGTGAAGACAAATTTAGAATATCTTTAAAAGATGTTGAATTTGAGGGAGGACTCTGAAGCTCCACATTTGTGTGCTGACTTACAGAGGAGAGCATCTCTGTTTGAGACCTGGGAATGAAGCCTTCTCCAAGGTATGTCAAAGCAAATTTAGTTGCATTCCAAAGCTTGTTACAAAAGAATCTGTAGCCTTGAACACGAAGAATATCAAGATTGATATCACGCCCTAGGAATGGAAAGAAATACAGATTAGATTAAAATAATAATACCACATAACAGAATTATCACAATGAAGAGTGAAATCACCTTGGGACATATAAGAGCACAGGGCAAAGCGGAGTGCATCAGTTCCACATTCTGGGATTCCATTGGGAAAATCTTGTTTCTGACCCTGCTTTGCACGTTCAATTTCCTTTTCATCCAAGTTGCTTTCAAGCAACTGCAAGTGCAAACTCTATAATTAAACATAAGACACAATTAATTAGCTATTACTGTAAATTTGACATTCTCAGTCCTAATCATACAGTTTTGAATTTCTTACTTCAAGTTCAATACCACAAATGACATCCATGGGATCAATCACATTACCAAGGGACTTGCTCATTTTCCTACCATGAGCATCTCTGACCATGGCATGCAGATAAACTTCCCTAAAAATGAAAGACTTGTTAAATGCTATGCCGTGGAAAGTAATGAAGGGCTTTTCTCAAAAGCACAGGAGTAACTTACTTGAAAGGTAGCTTTCCCAAAAGTCTTTGACCCATAAACACCATCCTTGCGACCCAAAAGAAGAGGATATCATGACCAGTCTCTAGAAGTGAGCCAGGATAGAATGTACGTAATTCTTCAGAGTCATCAGGCCACCCAAAGATGGAGAATGGAAACAGTGCTGATGAAAACCAAGTGTCCAACACATCAGTATCTTGACGCAGCTTAATTTTAGAGCTATCAACATTGAACTTTTTGGAGGCCTTTGCACGAGCTTCTTCTTCAGTGCGACCACTAACCCAGTATTCATTATCAATCTCCTGGGGAAAAGAATAAGATTAATCATTCAATATTACCATTCAGAATTTTACAATTATCAGCAAAATAAAATTTATCAAAGGAAACTTGACTCTGAGAGTAGAGAAAATAATAAAAAGACACAGTACTTAAAAAACTAGAGCTATATGTAAATAATTTTTCAAACTCAACATCCAAATACAATAAGAGAGATAACATAAAAAATAAATCTACTTATGTTACAATGCAATTTTAAGCAACAAATTTAACAGCAAGACAGCAAAAGAGGTGTACATTCAACGTATACACCTCTATTACCTCAGAATCAGGTTTAGGCCTGTCATCCATGTTATTTACACTTTTCCTATTTTTCCTACGCTTCTTACGCTGCATGTAACAATTCATGTGACACACTTGAAAGATAGTTATTAAGATCATGAAACAACTACTCCTTAAAATGACACCAATCAGTACTTACACTTCCTTGTTTAAATGAAGAGTCTTCCACAGAAACATAATAGGCAGGAATTCGATGACCCCACCACAGCTGTCGAGATAGGCACCAGTCTCTGTAAAAAAAATTCAAATTTGAGGAGTAGTGTAACTAAAAGAAAAGATAAATAAAAGTAAAAAAAAAAAAGAAAAAAAGGGTACCTTAACCTAAGTAGTATTTACCTTATATTTTCCATCCAATGGAACCAAATCTTAGTTTGCTGTTCAGGAATGATTTTTAATTCACCAGAGTTGACAACGTCGATTGCCTTCTTGGCCATATCATCACATTTTAAATACCTGACCAATTAAAACAAAAACTACCATCACAACTGCCAAGACATAATTAACCAAGCTGTTTTATTTGAAGTGGCTCTTACCATTGGGGCTTGATGAGGGGTTCAACAACATCCTTAGATCTGCTACAAATGGGAACTACCATAGGGTTATCAACAGTTTCCTTGTAGAGACCAAGCTCTTTAAGTTTTGAAACAACAGCTTTCCTTGCTTCAAATCGTTTCATACCCTAAAAATTGAATTTCACAGAATAAAAGAAAGCTTTTTATAATTCTAGGTTAAAGGGATGAGTTAGATAGATAAACGAACCGTGAACTCTCCACAATCACCAGTTATGTTACCATCCTCATCAATAATATTAATAAAAGGTAAATTATGCCTTTTCCCAATTTCATAATCGTTGTGATCATGAGCTGGAGTAATTTTAACAGCACCTAGAAGACAAGATATCAGTGTATTCAAAATAACAACATTTTAAGAGTAAAACTTAAATAAATTTAACACAGATTCAAGCGTTTCCTACCTGTTCCAAATTCACGGTCTACATAAGTATCACAGATGATGGGAATCTTGCGGTTACAGAATGGATGAGAAATGAGTTTTCCATGGAGATGTTTGTATCTTGCATCATCAGGATGAACAGCCACAGCAGTGTCCCCAAGCATGGTTTCAACCCGAGTGGTGGCAACAACAATCTGATCAGAGCCACCATCAACTTGATAAGCAAATGATACAAGCACTCCGAACTCAACTTTGTCTTTGTACCCAGGTATTGAAAGGAAGGTTCTGCCAGGCAGTTCGGTTTTGTCAACCTGTCATAAATCAAAAAGTAAAATTTAAAAAAAAATCTTTCTTAAGCAAAACCAAAGAAATTGACACAGATTTAGATTAAATAAGACCATACCTCAATATCAGAAATAGCACTTTTTAAGGTACAGGACCAGTTAACAAGACGGTTGCTTCGATAGATGTCTCCAGCATCATGTAAAACTACGAATGCTTCAGTAACTGCTTTCACAAGCTTAGGATCCATAGTAAAGCATTCACGATCCCAATCAAAAGAAGATCCTAATCTCTTTAATTGCTCATAGATCCGATTTCCCTTCCTACAATTTAAAAGTGTTAACGAAAACAAAAACGTAAAGAATACTTAAGAACATAAAGTGAGCCTGTGCAATCAACTTACTCATTTTTCCAATCCCACACCTTTTCAATGAATCTCTCTCTTCCTACATCATGCCTAGTCTTCTTTTCTTCTCTCCAAAGCTTCTTCTCAACCACTACCTGAGTTGCAATACCAGCATGATCACAACCAGGATTCCAAAGGGTGGTTCTACCCTTCATGCGGTGCCTAAATAAAAGAAATAAAGTACTGAATCATGGTTTGACAAAAACATTCACTCTACTGGATTACTTATGCACCATCTTGTTATCGCATCTTGGACAGCATTAGTGAGGGCATGTCCTAAATGCAGAGATCCAGTGACGTTAGGGGGAGGGATGACCATCACAAATTTCCCTTTGGGGTTTTCGTCGGACACACTTTTTCTCTAGAAAAATAAAAGAATCTTACATCTAGCACAATTTCCCACACCTAATAGTTCATGAAAAATTCCATTACTTACTCCATATTCTGGTTTGAAAAAACCTTGTTTTTCCCACCAACTATACCATGCAGCTTCTACATACTGTGGGCTGTAAGAATCGGGCATGGGTACAGTAACATCTTTCTTTTCACCAGGTGCAGTTGCAACAGTGTAAACTGCAGACTCTTTGACTTCCTTCCTCTTCTCCTTTTTCTAGAAAGAGAGCAAGTACAAAAATCAAGGGATGTTTTAACAGTTCTCATTAAATAGATGAAAAAAAAAGACCAACAAGCTATGTAGAGTAATACACAAGCGACACTCCTATAGGGAAGAAAGTGAAAACACAACACCACAGTGGAGGACTAACTGAGCGGATAGAATGAGTCATTTCATTCATTAGCAAGTAAGACAGAATTGAGATACAGAATCACAATGACAATCTTAGAAGGATTTAGTGAGAGATAGACCGATTTAGATTTCAACTTAAGTAGAGCTGCAAGAAAATCATGAACAGGCCACTGAAAAGAACAAGGAGAAAGCAATTTGAAAGACACTGACGCAACAACATTCCATAACCTTGCATGTGACAAACTTTAATGAAAGTAATGCAACTGCAACCAACAATGTTGCAAAAATGATTACCTCTTTCTTCTCCTCGTTGGGCTTCACTGTAGACAGTTTATCTTGCTTCTGTTTCAACTTTTCAAGTTTGGCCAATTTCTTAGCCTCTTTCTCCAGCTGTTTCGCAGTCTTTTCTTGAGGAGCCTCATCAGCCGGCCCAGTCCCAGGCACATCTGTTGCGTTCGCACTCATTTCTGCAGTAGAGGGACTGATACAACTATTTTCCGATCGCGCACCCAAACAGCTATCAAACGCGCAAAGAATTTAATGACTTCCTTTACAACAAGCACAACGAACCACAGAATACTACACAGCGCGGCATGGACCGTCGCGTCGCGCTCTGCTCTGAATCGCGGAGCGTCGGCTGCAGCAGGGCGAGTTGGCAAATGAGAACAGTATTGAAGGAACTACTCGGGCGCGAGACTATTTTGATTGAATATGATGTAGTGGTAGATACAGTTTCAAAGTGCGCATGTGAACTAAATTTTACGGTGGCAATCTCGGTACTTTGCGTTACAAGTGACTCATTTAGTAAAACAACAAATATCCTGAGGGAAATAGGAAGAACATATTGCTACACACCAATCACCAATAACTACGAATCTACATCTTCTAGCCGTGCTTTTCATAGTAGTTACTTATGAAGCCTTTCTACACGCCTGCGAATGTGAATGTGAACTGAGCAGTCAAACAACCCTGCGAATAACTGTGAATTACTGCGACTAACCACCCGAGCAGCGAGCAGCGGTCACACATGCACCTGAACCTGAACGTCAACACGTTGTGTGTTTGGTTAGGTGTTTCATGAATTTGAGAAACGCGTTGTTACATTTGCTTTTTAATTTGTCGATAACATTCTATCGGCGTCATGGGTAAAGTTAAAAAGGGCCCGAAAAAGGGTCTTTCAGATGCAGGAAAAAAGAAAGCTCCTGCGAAAGCTTTAAATCCATTCGAGGTTCATGTGAATCGACAAAAGTTTCAAGTTCTAGGCAGAAAGACAAAAACTGACCGTGGTTTGCCTGGCGTAGCGCGATCTAGAGCACTGAAAAAGGTATTCTATCATTTCTTTGGTCGAGAGACTACTGTGTAGATGTTAGTAGTAGATTCTATGATGATTGTTTGTATTGTCACTTTGATTTACTTGTGCTGTTTCATACTCTAATACTTTCTTGACATTTGTGGTTTGGTATTGCCATATTTCAAAAATTTATCTTTCATAAATGACAGAGAAAAGCCACTCTTCTTCAAGAGTACAAACTAAAAGACAAAACAAATAAATTCATGGACCGTCGTATTGGAGAAAGGAATTCAGCTATGACAGCGGAAGATAAAATGACCGCAAGATTTACTGCTGAGAGAATGAGAGCTCAGACCAGGGTTTGTCCTTGAAAGACATAAGATTATACACATCCATTTCAAGGTTGTTTACTAATCACTTTATTATTTTTCAGAAAGCTATGTTCAACTTAGCAGATGAGGAAGTGTTGACTCACCGTGGTCAAACTCTCAATGAAATTGAGAAATTTGATGATCCTAGAAGTGACGATGACGATGATGATGGAGAAGACAACCCTTTTCGATCAAAAGGAAACTTGGATGGTACTGTGTCATTGGAATGATTTTCATTGAGTGTCCTCATATTGTTTTTATCACAACAAAACATCATTTTCCTGAATATTGTATATTTTGCTTACTAATCGCTTGTCCTAATGTACATTTACAGCTGATTTTGTTGGTGATGCTCATTTTGGCGGTGGTCTTTTATCTCGCTCTAATGAAGATGGTACCAGGAGTCGGAAAGATTTGATTGACCAACTAATAGCTGAGTCCAAGAAAAGGAAAGCAGAGCAACAAAAGCTGAGAGAGCAGACCCTGGACCTTACAGAGAAACTAGACACAGATTGGAAAGATCTTTTACCAGTAATAAACAGTGCTCCAAAAGCATCTGAAGTTGAGAAACCAAAACCCGATTCATTTGATGTTCTCATGAGAGAACTCAAATTTGAAGCACGTGGAAAGGTATGGGGTGATAACTTTTTCAAGTGTTCCTTATCTTTTCTTTTTCAAATTTTTATTTTCCATCCTTTGACAGCCATCAGATAAATTAAAATCTGAAGATGAAGTTGCTCGTGAAGAAAAGGAGAAGTTAGAAGAGCTGGAAGCCGCCAGATTACGCCGAATGCAGGGTATTACTGAATCATCCTCTGATGCAGCATCCAAGCACCGTAGTGCAGACGACCTTGACGATGGGTATGATATTTACTTTTGCTTCAACCTAATTTAGTATCATATTACACCCTACCACTGTAAATAATGAGTGTTAATTGTTTGGTGTAATACATTGAAATTTTGCAGTTTTGCTATGGATACTGATCAAGATGACAGCGAAAATGATGAGTCTGAAAACAATGGTGGGATGGATATTGATGATAAAGATGATGAAGGAAGTGAGGACGAAGAGGAGGAAGATGACGACGACGGCAACGACGATGGCGACGACGGTGTTGGAAACAATGGGAGTGAAGAGGAGAATGTTGGAGAAGAGAGCAGTGAAAGTGAAGATGATGATATTGATGACCTACGATATGATTCCAGTGATAATGAAAACAATACTGACAATGAGGAATTTGGCAGCAAGAAAACTAAAAAAGAAATGATTAAAAGTACTGCGCCAGAATCTTTTAAACAGCAACCTAGATCCAAAAGTAAGATCCAATTTACTGACAGAATTTTGTTGACAAATTCTGCGTTTTTAATTCTTTGAATTTTTTTTTTTCCACCCAGCAGGTAATGTTGAGAATGTGAGTAGTAGTAGTAGTACTCCTCACACTGATAAGGCTGAAGCCATTAGAGAAGATCTTAGAAAAAGAAAGGAATTGATGGATGCAGCACGCAAGGAGTTACCTTACACATTTGAGGTACCAAGTACATATGAAGAGTTGCAGATTGTTCTGGCAGGCCGTTCACCTGAATATCAGGGTGTTATAGTTGAGCGGATGATAAAGTGCACACACCCCAGCCTTGCAAGTGGGAACAAAGAAAAGCTGGCTCACCTGTTTACTCTCTTAATGCAGCACTTGCACGATGCTGGCACAGCTGAAGAACATGAAAATGTATGTTTTTATTATTGATTGTTTAATTCTTTTTTCTCTCAGAAGCTGCTGAAAACAAAACTTGCTTACATGTTTTATTTGCAGGTTTGCTGGGCTGTTTTAGATAGATTAGTTCCATCTCTTTTTGACATTGTACAGTGGTGTCCAGATGATACTACCCAATGTATAAGACATGTAATACAAGAGAAACATCAGGAGTATAGCAAAAGTAGAAAAAAGTTTCCTGGGGTAGAAACTGTAGGTTTATCACAAAATCTCATAATCTTTTCCTCTTTTAATACCAAGCTGTTCTTGTTTCAGTAATATTAATGCTAAATTTCTTTGCAGCTTCTGTTTTTTAAACTGATATCCCTGCTATTTCCAACATCGGACTTCAGACATCCTGTTGTAACTCCAGCCTTAGTATTTATGGGGCAAATGTTGTCTGCATGCCGATTGGAAACACGCCAAGATATTGCCAAGGGATTGCTTCTAGTGTCACTTTTACTTGAGGTAAGATTATTCTTATTGGAATGCAGTGGTGTCTGAAAATCTTTGTACTGAACAAGAGTTTCCTCAGTTTACAGTCCTCTCGAAACGATTCTCACCAGAATCAGTAAATTTTCTCAGAAATGTGTTGTATCTGAGTTCGAATCTATCCAGTACCCAAAAGGTCACCTCTGCAGCTAAGCTTCCTGCTGTTCGGCCTATTCCACCTGTCAAGGTTTTTGCTTTGCCAAAACTGTCATTGAAACCGGAGTTTGAGGATGACTCATACAGGTTGGTCTATGTGGATTTGTGGAAGCCCTGACATTTATCATATTGCTTAAGAATTCTATTGTGGCCTATTATTGATGATATGTAAATATGGACTTTCCTTTTTTTTCCAAGGAGTCATGAGCCAGAGGACCGATTGAGTGCTCAAGACCTCATAAGCCAAAAACCTGTAGATAATGATTTTTGCATGTCTGCATTGTTTGTATCATTAAGGATTTTATCATCCATGGTCAAACAGCTCACATCTCTACCTGCCTGTCGACAGATATTCTGTCATTTCCCCCCATTATTAGAAAGCTTATGTATGGTAAGAAAACACTTAACTATTACTGATCATATGTTACAACAGGATATTACTAATATGATTTTGATACCTCCAGGAGAACAGGCTTCCACAGAGAATAAAAAAGGAACTCAAAGATCTTCAGGAGCTGATGAGCTCCATCAAACAAACTACTCTAAACTACTTAGTGTCTGCTCCAAAGCGGCCCAAGCCTCTAAAACTTTATGAGCCTAATATTCAGCAAGTGTATGTCTAAGAATCACAAATTCCTAATATCTTTTTGATTATTTACATTTTGGATGTTCAACTAAATAATGGTGGTGGTTTTATTCTTCATTAGGTATACTGATGGAAAACAACATAGACCCATTTCCAAGGAAAAGCAAGAAAGTGAAAAACTACTTCATAGATACAAACGGGAAAAGAAAGGGGCATTACGAGAAATTCGCAAAGACCGAGACTTCTTGGCGAAGATTAGAATCAAACAGCAACTTAAAAGGTGTGTAGTATGCATTCATTTTGCTCTTATTATGAAATGCATTTTTCTCTTTGTCCTTCATCCATTTTCTTGAACCCATTTTCAGTGATGCTGAGCGGAAAGACAAGGTCAGAGAGATATTCGGCCAAGCATCTATGCAACAAGGGGAAATGCGGAAGCTCTCCAAAGGAAAGAAGAAGAAGTGATCCATGTATTACGAAACTACAATGCCATCTTAATGATTTGTTATTCATAGTTTTAAAAACTAGTAAATCTTTATTCAATAAATTTAAATTTCACATCAACTTACCATGGCTGTGATCTACTCGTTTCATACCCGTGGCGACGACGGCGTGCATCATGCCCCCTCCCCGTCCCTTGCACCTATCCCTTGACCCTCCCCCTCCTTCCCCCCTATTGTCTACTGGGCCGTAAACCTGACCTATATTGCACGTGCAATCCTCGCAAAACGTTCAGAGCCCTGTGATGAGAATCCCCACAGGCGTTATGGCATTGTGTATGGAATAGGACGGCCCTATCGACCTGTAAGGTAAAACTACACCATCGGCACGCATTACAATGCATGGAATGCTCATTAACTGCGCCAATAATGGATTACCTGTCGTCCACAGTACCTATTGTAAACTCTGTCCCCTGATCAGCTGCTTTACAGGCTTGCCTACCCAGCGCGCTGCAAGGCGCATCGGGAACGTTAATGCGAGGCTGTTACGGGCTGTAATAATGTAGGGATGTTCGAATGGCACGCAAAGAAGCGGCAAGAGGCCCCATGTTGAGAGAGGAGCACTCCTCCCGTGGTCATGGCGGCCCCCTGGCTAGAAAATGTTCATTGCTGTCAGGTCAGTTGTGGCGAGGAGGGCTTTATTCTTTCCACGGTATAGCCTTCCCTTCACTGCTCGATGCTAAGAGACCATACCCGAGGGGTCGGTCGCTGCGGATGGCAACGTGATGGCAGCGACCAAACGAAACAAAAGCAATGCCACCTCAAGCGGCAGGAGCACGTTGTGAACTTCCCCGAAACACGTTATTTTTAGCCCAAGCGCGTGCTGATAGAGCGACGACGACGACATAGCGCCACGACGTTCTCCCGTTTGGTTCCTTACGCATCTCCTTTCATCGCCAAACTGTCGTTCTCTCCCCGTTCCTTTCACCTCTGCTTGTTTCCTCTGTAAGTTCATGGTTCATGGCGGGGGGAAGTCGGAAAGGCGATGCGGCGTACTCGCTGCTATAGCGTTATAACGGTTGAAATGCATTCTGATCGCACCGTGCATAGATGGATGCACAGAAGCCAGCACCCCCCTCCCCCTCTTCTCTTTCTCTTCCATAAGACATTAGTCCATTTCTCCACCGTTGTTGTAAACGTCGTGTGCCTACACGTGAGCAACGTGAGGGGTGAGTTTTGCTGCTGCAGCAGCGGGTGGCAGCGGGGCGCCAGGACCAGTCCGGAGTCCGGGTCGGGCGCGAGAGGGCGCTGCATGGCGATGCCGACGTGAGGGTTTGTGACGTCACCATGTCTGACGTCACACAGACCGATATATAGGGGTCCTGTGGGGGGCCTCCGGTCTCGCGCACATGGGCCCCCGGGGTGGGGGGCCCTCCGCGCTCTCTTCTGCTACATCCACATCCGTCCGTGCCAAGACGTTTCATTAGGGCACCGACCGGCCCAAAACAAAAATCCGATGGCCAATGCGAAAGAGTTGGAGTGTTGTTGGTCAATGGCAGTTTGACGAGCGCAGCAGTAGACGACGTGGCCTCATGACAGGAGTCGACCACACCACCACCACCACCACCCAGGCCCCGAGGCTGGACACCAAAGAGGGCTGAGGTCAGTGGGGCGGGGGCGCGGCGCGGGGGCCTCCGGGAGGATCCGGGAACTGACAGATGAGTATTTGAGCGCGCGCGCGCGAGATTAGGGATTGGCTGAGCCAGCCGCGGCGCGGCGCGGCGTGGCGCGCCTGGCCAAACTCGTCGTTCTGTTCGGCGGCGCGCAGAGTGGTGCTTGGAGACACGGCCCCACCCGGCCCGCCTTTGAATGCGCGGCCAGAAGACACTGCGAGAGCGGAGTTAAATATTTGCCGAAATCGACCGACGACGACGACGAGGAGGAGGAGGAGAAGGCCCTTGGACCAGCACCAGCCCCGGCCGGCCCGGACTACAAGTCCCCACGGTCGGGAAACCTTCCCTCTGCCCTCCCCCCTCTTTCCTCCCTCTATCTTCTTCTCCACTTCTCCGCTCTTATTTCTCTTTGCTGCTGCGGTGACAAAGAAAAAAGGAGGAGGAGGGGGCGGGGTTGGGGGTGCGGGCGTTGGGCCGCTGGAAAGGGGTTGCCGGGTGCGTCGCCGCCGCCGTGGAGCACGCACACCACCGCGCACTCCTCCAGCACCAATTTCCTGCCGGCAACTGCCAAATCCCGGATAAATTGGCGTCCATAGCCCACCCTCTAATCTGCAGGCCTCATCGGCGACCTCCCCCTTCAACGCCTCACAACGTGATGGGAAGCGTCTGCTCCCCGCTGTTTTCTCGCACCTTCCTGTCAACTCGTCCCGTGTGCTGTAAATCAGCCCCTGCCTACCCCTCCCCACCCTCCCTGCCCAAGTGGCGAAAGTCTGGGTTAAACCCCTCTAAATTGCATCCAAATCCTCACGGGGATGGTGCGGGCCGCGCAACCGGCACTGCAGCACCCGGCACCACCTCATCTTCTTCCACCTGACCGGGCCCACGGGTCGGGGGCCGCAAGGACGAGAACGCGTCACATTCTGGGTGAGCGGAGGGGGCTAAATAATTCCTTGATCGAGTCTAGACTCAGATCCAGCTAGATCTGAACCACGGCCTATATTTACTTACTTTGCTCATGTGTATGGTGAACACGTTTGCCAGTAGTTGTTGTAAGTAGCGAGGTGAACAGAACTGGACCGGAAGCGACCAGCGCTACTACTAGCGCCACACATTCGGAGAGCGGCGTCTAAAGGAACCTAGCCGCATTCATAAACTATAAACCATGCCCAGGCAGTAACCCGGAGGAAAAAAAAAAAAACAAACTACTAGGATCGACTCGTTAAGTCTGGAGGCTCCGCCTGTATTGGATAGTAATCGCGCCGACTGAGGTGATAACGGCCAAGGGCCCCCGCCCCGGAAAGCAGTTCGAATTTCTGCGCGCAACAAACCAGTGGCAAATTGGCCAACTCACCAGTCACATTAATCACGTAATAAAGGGCTTTATGTTACAGTAATACGGTTGGTCTTTGTACCGAAATAATATTCTGTTGGTCTCGTTGTTTCCCTTCCTTATTCTGTTTTAGTAAATGCAATCAGTCTACCGATTTTTTTTTTCATGTGTTGCCTACATTTCAACGCGACCACCCGAACCCGATCCAGCCAGGTCCACTCCACGTTCTCTCCTTTGACTTCTTGTTTAGTAAAGTAAAGTAAAGGAATGTGAGCGAAGCCAAAAACCATGTTCGTCGCGTTCGTAGCAGCTTCCATCCCGGTGGTCTTGAGCAGAGAGAACTAGTTACCTCTAGTCTTGAGTATCTGTAGTAGTGCTTGTTATTGAGTTGAAGCTTTACTTCACAATGTGGGTGAGAGATGAACCCTTGAGTTCTCAAAAGTCAAAAGTACACTTGCCTGCACTCTGGGGCAACGCCGGAAGAAAGCGGCGTGTACAAACTGCAGAAAATAGCTTTCGTTCTGTGCGTCGCTTCAGGGAACCCGGACGATGCGGACAACGCACTTTCTTCAAAATGACATCAATGAGGAAGGTTAGTGTCGAAATGTTGTCGTTTTGGTGGCCTGCTTGGACGTCGTTTTTGACATCAAATGACATCACGTGATGTAAAAATCTGAACACATCATCAATTGATGTCAATTTGACGATTATGCCAATAGGGTATTCCGCTGCAAACACAATCGGAACCTAAGAAGATCGAGCACGTGCTTCTCTTCTTTAGGTTCCGGTTGGCTTGCAGCGGAACATCCTATTTGACGAAAATGTGTCTTTTTTGGAGCAGTCTGGGAGTATTCTGCTTTCGATAGCCGTCCTTTTCAATTCAAGTATATGTCTTCAAAAAGCCAATTTTTTTGTTTTAGAACGCAGTCCGCTTTTCACGGATGCTTCGTTGAAACCCGCCCTGGACAACGACAACGCCAACCTAGACGTCAGCGTAGCTGTACAAGGTAGGCTAGGCAACATTTGAATCTGAGCACCCAATGCTTTTCTTTTTAGTAGTGGTGGTGGTGGTGGGTGAAGGATGCATTCGAACAGTAGGTTGGCCCGTCCGCTGTCCGACACAGATTATAGGAAGATCTGCGAGTCTTTTCAGACAGTCCACAAAGCTGTCTCTGCCTCCTCGCTCCTCTGCGCAGGACCGCACTGGAGCTCGTGCGTGTGTGTATAGCGGTTTTTATTTTCCCCACGTTGAACAACGAATATGTTCTTCATTTAATGACGTGTGTCACGCCGCGGTCACGTTCGCGGCGGTAACGCTACGCGACGCCACGCTCGGGCCCAACCACAGCGCCCCCGCGCGGGGGATGCACGCAAGGCTAGCCGCCTCGGCCCCGCGCCGTCGGGCTGCCCCCCTCGGTCTGTTCGCCCCCTCCCGCAGCCGCCCCTCGGCCCCCGAGGACTTATCCCCCGAGCTGTACCGTTTACCAGCGGGCCCGCTACTCCAGACAAGACTGGACTCCCCCCGGTCTCTCCAGTAGCGAGACTTACGCTTCAACAAGACGAGAGACCGGACGGGACGGCGAGAGGCATAGCGGGCACGACGGGGGAGGTTGACGAAAGTGCACGCCCCACCTCTCCACAGCACTCGCTGTCCTCTTCTTGTGTCCCTGCTCTCCTTACCCCCCCC